TTGCATCGCTGCATCCGTTTGACAATTATAAATTGTAACCTTGCATTGTGCTCCGTGTGACATAATCGCGTTCGAATCCAATTTGGCCAGCTCTGCCACTGCAGAGTGGCAAGTAGTGCAAGTGCAAGGGCAGAGGCGATTAATATTTTGTCTGGCGATGATGAATGGTCGCCGGCGACTGCATTGCGCCACTGATTGAGTTATTGGCAGGACGAAGAACGAGAGGACGAGGAGGTTGGATGCAAATGCGATAGATAGCAACACCTACTACATGGCCACATCCTTGTTCGCAGTGACCGGCCAACCGTGGAGGGAGCCTCCTTTCGGCCAAGTTTATTGTGTTAGCATTAAACAAGGCCCAAGGAAAGCCTGGCTAAGAAGGGGCAGGGAAGCGGACTTTGCCTCACTTATCCGGGCAACGAGCCATGCCCGATGAAGCACTGAGAGACGAATTCCCGTGGTTGCTACCCCAAAAAAGGATACTCTTTAAAGTCATCCCTAGATTATTTTTTCGCCTGTATCCGAGAGTTGAGAGACTGCAAAGGAGGCCTATTGTTTGGTCAGTCTTGGCCATGTTCGTTAAGTGGGTGCAGCTGGGTGGGCAGAGGAGGGCAGGACTCGCAGGACTCGTAGCACAGTAATTACAGGCAGACGCAGACCCCCGGCAGGATCTGTCTGTGGCAAGGACATGGTTAGTCCTGTCCGTCGGTGAAGTAAATAAAACTGTGCAGACAATTAAGTTTGTTTTGCCTGGGCATATTCTTTTTCCTCGGACCGTTCTCCGAATTGCACGTTTATGGCCAAGTCGAGCAGGTAATGGCTCCTCTTGGTCCTTGGCTTTCCGTTCTGGTCCTGGCCAAGAAATTGCACTAATTGTTGTTGCCAGAGATGCAAGGAATTGGCTTTTTATGGAGACGGAGATGGAGGCCAAACTTAATTTGGGAGTCGGATTCGATTTCTGGACTTCAAGCCTGTTGATTAAAATTCGGGTTGGAACTCAATTTAGACGGAGAGGTCATTAGTTCACTTGAGCAATAATTCAGAAACAGATCTGGTCTTGTGATTATGTCCTGGATGTCGAATCTATTTGAATCAATTACTGCCTCCAACAGGACTGAAGGATAATAGATTGCTCGTCACCTGTCGATGACTTCATCGCATTTTTGTCAACCAAGTGTTCGGGACGGCAATTGTCCTTGATGACCTGCTCAACACGATTCGCATTACTCCTTGTCGAATTTCCACTCAGACTCGCTCCACTCGCTTTGGTCCTGTCAATCCTGGTCCTCCTATTTACATTCCAATGGAAGGACGTGCGCCCGCGAGGTATCCTGCCACTATCTTTGTCGATTTGCCTCATCTATTTTATTGTTTTGCCTTTTCAGTTTGGCTTTTTCGATTTAATGAAATGATAAACTGAATAAAATAAACATTAAATAGCTAAAGAAAAATCAGAAAACCTGCACTGAAAACTTTCAAGTAAGAATTCTAAAGGAAGTTGTTCTGATAACCCCGAAAATGGTGGGAAACTCGGATGACTTAACGCTATAATCCTTGTTATCGAAAATGTTTCTTTGAAATTGGATTTATTTTCGAAATAAAAATTTAGTATTTCTCCAAGTACAGAAATCTTTTTGGCTTTGACAATCAATTTCGCACTTCCTTGGTAGTTGATTGTTTCGTCCTTTCTTTTATTTATCTATTATATTTTCCCACTCAATGTCATCTTGTATTTTTCTTCTCGGTTTCGGCTTTCGTCTTTCGGCTTTCACTTTCAGTTTGTGTTAATTACCAATTTAAATGCAAACTTTTTGGACTGATGAAGATGGATGCGACACTGGCGCACAAAGGGATCCGCAGGCGACGTGTCCTTTCTCATTTCACCATTGTCCCACTACCATTGTTTTCCAAAAAAGAAAGCAAAACAACTTATCAAGGTCCCTGCCCTAAGTTGCTTTTGAAAGCCTCGGTCAGTGATACGCTTTTTAAGGACCTTCCTGGAAATGCAAGAAATCATGAGGAAGGGTCAGCGCTTTCGTTAAAATATTTAAAATTCCTTCACTAGTTTCTGCTGAAACCAATTATTCTGCTATGCTCACAAACTTGGCGAAAATTGATTTAAATTGCCGGTCAAAGTTGTTTTCAATTTTCAAGCAATTTTCAAACCACCGTCTCTGTCCCCATCAATCAATCACAACTTTTGTCCAAAGTCCGAAGCCTGGTCCTACTACTACTCTGCAGTATATAAACATCGACTGGCACACATAAATAACCCCATTACAAACCTAATTACATCCAATAACAATTTTATTGCCGCTATAACAACAAAACCAATAACACAGGGGCCAATGTGACAGAACTGAAATTGTGGCAAAGAGATATCGATCTTACTTGTTGACATGCGGCAATTACAAGACAACAAAATGCACTGAACTGAAGACTGAAACCTGATTTTTTTATTTTTTTTTTATTAAACTTTGATAATTGAAAGGAATTGAAAAGGAGGGAACACCTACGCCAGAGGAGGAATAGGCTATGAACTGGTTCGTGGACGGCCACAGATGGGCATGCAAAACTTGGATAACAAAAAAAATTAAAGTAAAACTTGAAAAAACATTTAAAAATTAAAATAAAAAATTTTATACAACTGTTTTCGTCATTTGGTCATTAAATAAATGAATAAAAATTATATAAACATTTTATTATTATATTATATAAAAAAAATAAGTAAATCAGGTCCTTTAATAATCCAAAATGATTCTTTTGTTGCATCCATTAATGGTATTTTGAACACCAAAATTAAAAAAAAAAACAGATTGAAATGCGAAACTCGGATAACAATCAAATATTAAAATGAAGGTTGAAAACATATTTAAAAATTAAAATAAAAAATTGTATACAACTTTTTTTGTCATTTGGTTATTAAATAAATGAATAAAAATTATACAAACATTGTATTTGTATGTATGTAGGATTGCTACTTCTTGGTAAGAAAATTTAAAAAAATAAGTAAATCAGGTCCTTCAATAATCCAAAAATGATTCTTTTGTTGCATCCATTTACCATTTATGGTATTTTGAAATAAAAAATTAAAAAAAAAAACAGATGGGAATGCAAAACTTGGATAACAATAAAATATTAAAATGAAGATTGAAAAAACATTTAAAAATTAAAACAAAAAGTTTTATACAACTATTTTGGTCATTTAAGTTTATAAAAAAACTAAAAAGTGGAAATTAAATAAAAAACAAATTACAAATAAATTGTTAATAAAATAAGTAAATGAGGCCCATAATTGTCCATTTTGTAACCAGAGAAACCTCTATGCATGAACTCTTTTAAATAAAAATCAAACATTTTTTTGATCATTTAGTTTAAAAAAAAAAAAATTAAAAAGTTTTATACAATAATTTTGGTCATTTAAGTTTATAAAAAATCAAAAAGTGAAAAATAAATAAGATACAAATTACAAATAAATTGCTAATAAAAAAAGAAAATTAGGCCCATAATTGTCCATTTTGTAACCAGAAAACTCTTTGCAAGAAAAAATTTAAATAAATGAATAAAAATTATATAAACATTTAATATGTATGCATCGAGAGGGGATATGCGTGTCCAATAAAAAAATTGCAAGAAATAAGTAAATGACACATTGCCTTTTTAATTTAATCAAATAAAATACAAAAAAGCAAATACAAAAATAAGTAAATGAGGCCCATAATAATTTAATTATATTCGTAGAGAACCCACTATTCCTCAATAAAAATTGATATTTAAAAAAAATATAAACAGGAACCCCAATTAAATGTCTTTCCAAGACACATTGCCTTGTTAATTTAATCAAATAATAAACAAATACAAAAATAAGTAAATGAGGCCCATAATAATTGTTAACCATTGTTGTTAAAAATAAAAAATTATTTTAAAATATATAAAAATAGATAAACCAGAGCAATAAGTGACAGAACAAATTGCCATGCTGCTACTCAAGAGCCTTGTTTTTTTTTTTCAAGTATTTAAAATAATAATAAAAAGCAGAGACCGAAAAAAATAAAATAAAAATATAAAAAAATCAAGAAAAATAAACTGGAGCTCTTTTTCTTGGAGCTGCTCCGGTCCGAGGACCGAATACGACTGATTTTAGAGACCCAGAACAACTCTATTTATAACAAAAAAAGCAGGGTCACCGGCTGACTAGATTAGGGTTCTGTTTACTAGGGTTACCATTTCGGTTTAAAAAGTGTTAGTTAATGCTTAAAGTTTTTCGAAAAATAGTTTCTCTGGCAATCGTTTTTGGAAAACCACACAGGACAAACAATCAAAAAAAAGGAAAAAAAAACCAGGATCCGCCAATTTAAACGCTCATTAAAGGAGCACCAAGGCAGAGCACAAAAAATGGAAGCCCAAGAGCGGTAACTACTCCAGGCGCACAATTTGCTAATGTTGACGCCATTATTGTATAATTTTCGTCAAGTGGGCGGGGCGGGTCGATCCGGCGGTCCGCTGGTCGGTCATTTGTATAGCAAACCGCAAATGTCGGCACTGAGGTTTTCCTAGCCGGTTTCCATGCTTTCCTTTTTTTTTTTTACCGCCCCATTTGCTTTCTTTTTTGACAGTTTCCGCGTCATTTTTCTATGGCGGTGCAGGCCCAGACTTTGTCATTATTTTGGCATTATGCGAGAGCAGTCAGAAGATGGGGGGTTCCCCCCAAACTTGGTGGCTCACAAACATTCGTAAATGTCATTAACAGTTGTAACGGCTTCGGGCCACGCCTCTTGCCACCCAAACTTTATGCGGCAACAAGGGGGGTGGTGGTGATGGTTAGCGTTTTTACACAAAATTACTTCTTTTATTCGGGGCCTTACATTCATCATCATCACCAAGCACCAAGCATGGAGCTCCAAGCCATGAAATATGCGCCATCATATACCCCCCATCTGAAATCAAAATTTTGGGAATGACCTTAAAGACCTTCCAAGACCATTAAAACACCCAACGAGTTGCGTTTCTTTTTAGCATAGAAACTAAAGTTTTATTTATTTAATATTTAAATGTAAAGTACAAAGTAATTCCTATATGCGTTACAACTTCCATATAGAATATTTAAAAAGTCTATGATCTTAAGCGCTTAGTTCCGTACAGCTAAGTGGTTCTGGTTCTCTATTATTCTGGGGGCGTCTTTAAACTTAGTTCTAATTTATGTGAAATTTATGCTTCAATATGATGGAGAGATAATGGCTAAATTAAATTTTGTACTAAATCAATGGGTTGGGGTACAGAGGGGGTGATAATCAATGTGGGTCTGCAGGAGTACGAATACGTATAGATATATACAAAAATTCGAAACGAAAGATATAAACAAATTCAAAATAATAAAATGGCCACAAAAAATAATAAAAAAGAATAAAATAAAGGTCTGTAGCCTTAGTAGATCCGGGGCAGGATGTAGTGGCGCACCTGGGAGCTGTAACGATGCCACGACGAGTGATAGCGCGCCTGATTCCGGGCGTTTGCTCGAGTGGCGCGGTGCAGCAGCAGGAGCACGATCAGACTTAAGCCCAGCAATGGCGGCCAGGCAGGACGCAGGGCCAGGGGAGCGGCGAGGGCCAGCAGGGCAAGGATATCGCCCAGGTAGTTTGGCTGTCTGACCCATCCCCACGTGCCGGCCAACAGCAGACGGCTGCCCTGGTACGTGTGGATCGTCTCGATGTTGGCGAAGATCGGGCTCTGCGAGTTCAGGCGGTACTTGTACTTGTAGGCGCAACTGAAGCGCTTGAGCAGCAAGCCCAGGGCCAGCAGAGCAAGGACTCCCAGCGGGGCGTACCAGCAGGAGATGGGCACTCGCTGCTCGTAAAAGTACTTGGTAACCGAGCTCAGCAGATAGGGAGTGGCTGCGTAGCGGAGGAGCAGCAGGCAGCCGTAGCCCTCGTGTTGCAGTTCGAAGGACGAGCTGAGGTGGTGTTCAAAGACAATGGCGTCGAGGACATAGATCGCCAAAGAGCTGGCCGCGAGAAGGGTTGCCGGATCGTAGTTGACATTGTTCCAGTAGTACCGAGCCACGTGTAGGTATCCCTCCTCCGTCAGCTGAGGCTTCGACGGCCAGACGAGCGTCTGGTAGATGTAGCAGGCGGCATACAACAGAGTGCTCACCAAGGAGAGCCGATAGTAGAACTGCTTCCAATCGACCCGTCCCAGCCACTTGGGATTCAGTTGCCTGCCAAGTGCAAAGTCCACCACAAAGCTTCCGGATCTTCCGTAATCATTCGTCAAGGTCTGACGAAGCACATTGTACTTGGCAGTGTCGACGCGCCAATAGCTCCAAGCAGCAGCCACGAAGGCTCCCACCAGTCCATAAATGCAGAAGCGAAGGTAGTGGCGCAGTATGAAGGTGACCACCGGATACTTCAGATACTCGGCTATTCCGCCAGCAATCAGCAGTGTGACGGCCACTCCCAGCGAGTTGAACTTGTAGGTCTCGCGAGTGAGGTGGACCCTTCGTCCGGGCAGCAGGGCCACGAGCAGGAAAACCACAACCTGGTAGGCAGCAAAAGCGCTTACAACGCGCGTCTGGAACACCTGGCGCGAGAGATAATTCCAATCCAGCAGGATGGCCGGATTCAGCGTCTTGAACTGACAGGAATTTCTGGCCGTGCAACTCCAGCTAAGATAGTACACAGCGGTGGGCACTAGAAGCAGCAGCAGAAAGGCACCCAACCAGCCCCCGAACTCCTGGGGCGCTTTCACCTGGCGGCACGAAATCTCCACTGGCGTGGCCGACTGTCTGGTGGCATTGAAGCTACGGAACTGCTCCTCTTCGAGATCCTCATCCTCCTCTTCACCTGTGGAGTAGCTGCGCTTCGAGGACTTCTCATCGTCGTACACAGAGCGCGACACACTCCGACTGTAGCGACTACCCTCTTCTGTGTTAGTGACTGGGGTTCCCGCCAAGTTGGAGATAGTTTTCGAGACAGAACGCCTCAGACGCTCGGTGATACGCTTCCGAATGGAGTCGGTGTCCACCTCGCTGTCACCCTCGGCACGGATCTCGATGCGCTCGGTGGTGGTGGTGCTGGTAGTGGTGGTAGTGCTGCTAAAGTTTTTGCTGTTCACCGAGCTTGTGTTGAGGGATTTGTTGGGAGCCCGACTGCTGGTGTTGGTGGTCAGGGCGATGGGCAGACTGCTCGAAACTTGACGAACGGGCGATGTAATCTGTAAGAGTGGGGAGAGATTAGTAGACATCCCGGCTGGTACAGTTCACTTGTACAAGACAGTAAGTGCCCTGATAAGGGGTTCCAGCGAAACCGGTTTCGGGGGGCCGTCGCCACTTACCTCTGGCACCTCGCGTATGGGTGTGGGGGCCTTTGTGGAGGCCTTGACGGGCAGCGAGGATCCGGTTATGGGCCCTACGGAGGATCGGGGTCGGCTGGAACGGCGTGTGCGCGGTCCAAGTTCCGGAGATGGCGGAGCAGCTGCTGGTCCTTTGTTGCGCGACGGCGAGGTCCGTGTGCGGGTGGCAATACCAGAGGGGGCGGAGGCTGCTGCCGCTGTTAGGGAGCCCGCTCGCCGGGTCACTGGCAGCAGGCTGGGCTGTGTGGAGAGGGCTGCGGCCGAGGCTGCGGGAGCCAATTCGTCGGTGCGACGCGGGCGTCTCAGGCGTCGCTCCATTTTATGCAATACAGCTTTTCCAAAAAACGTGCTGTAACCAAAGCGGAAAATGTGAAAACTATGCTCGGGCAAGTGCTATATTTTATTTATAGTCGTAAACACCACCACCATCACACACGCGGCCAGAGTAAATACGCTAGTTTTATTTACTTGTATTGCGGTTCGCGCGCTGAAAGCAAAAGCGACGTCGCTGCTCAACTGTACCCAGGCAGCGACGCTGGCAGAGCCTCAATGCGGCAGCACTCTTTCTCTTTCTAGCGTTCAGCTTTAAAGACCGTTTAAGTCATGATTTTGGGCTTTTATGAAACTGTATTTTATTTAACTTACTGCTGATTAAAGCTGGGAACTGATATTTAGACTTTTCTTTCAATAAAACACCGTAAAATCTGCAAAATCACTCGAACAAAAAAAGACGCGCGTCTGCTGTCGGCTAGAGGTGTTTTCAAAACATCGGTAACACCCGTATATCGAGGTTCGGCAATGCTGCCAACTATCGATAGTAAAATATAGCTAAAAAATGCTAACAAAAAGCTAGAATTCTTCCACTTATCGATAATCTTAGAGATGGGCGCGGGAAATTCAGTGGGACATTTTTGAAAAGAACAATCGGGCCGAACAGCGTTGCCAGAGGCAAAACGATATAACTTCCATCTCCAACTGGCCCCCACACATAACAAAAGGCTGGAAAAAATTGTAAATTAAGACGAAATTCCCGAACATTTTCCTGTCAGACGAGACAGCAATGTAAGTAGAATCTATTCCTCGCCAAAGGGGAACTTGGAAACAACACCTACAGCAACTACTAACGAAAAACCAAATCGAAAATGTTGCGCATCAAAATTTCTGGTTACTAACTTTGTTATGAAAACGTCTCTCTCGCCGCCGCCTCCTTGAACCGAACCGAATAAAACCACCCACCGAAACTGGGGCAACAAAAGAAGCGCACAGCATTCGCTGCGGAACAATACCCAGAAGTTGTGGAATCTATAATGGCTACCCCCCAGTCGCCGACGCCCATGTTCAATGGCCTGGACGAGGATCTGTACAGCGAGGCAAAGTTCGCCCACGAAATCAATGACAAGATGCGGGTACCGAAACGCATCAAAGCCACCGGAGAGTACTCGGACGAGGACCTTTTGCTGTCCAACCAGAACGGGCTTATCAGCTCGTGGAACTACCATGACAAGATTGATATGAATGTGCCGGACAGGATCGTCGTGCTGGGCCACAATCAGCACCTTGAGACGCGCTCAGCGCCGCGAGAAATCCAGCTGGAGAACTCCATTCTGCCCAAGAATCCCTCCTCGGGATTGGTGCGCGTCCAGACCCCACCGCGTGTCATCACCCTCACCGATCATCATTTCCCTTCGGCCTCCGAAGAGAATTCGCCTATTCACGCCAACGGGCGACATCTCTACCTAGACGAGGAGGACGATGACGAGGCTGGACATCCAGCCACCCACTATGTTAGAGCCAATGGAGCCGCTCGTATGGGCTTCCATGCCAACGATACCCACTCGGTGGAGTCGGATTCGCAGGTGAGACATTACAGCAAGTCCAGACCAGCCTCACATCTTTTTAGTTATCTAACCAATGACGAAATCCAAATCAGGAAGGGCTCGGGTTCCCGCCTAGTCACTCTTCTTAAAGATTAAGAAACTGCTGCTTTATTGATTTTCTCTACCACTTGCCAGTCGTCTTATCAGCGACTGACTTAATTTACAAAAGCCATGTGAAACTGCCCACTGCCGGGGGCATTCTAATCACTCGAGGAGGCACGGCCTTCGCGTCTGTCGCTGCTCCGATCCTCCTTGGCTTCGTGGAATTCACACTCCGAGGTGTCCTTTGGTCGCTTGGCAAAGGCACGGCACTTCCAGATGTCCACTTCCGTGGCCAGGCACTTGCGGAAATCAAAGTCGCATAGTCCAAGGCTGTAGGAGCTCTCGCCGGGCTCAAAGTAGTGCAGGCCCCTTCCAATCTTGATAACCACGCCCGAGCTCAGCACAATCTTGCGGTCGTGCAGGCTCTCGTCCATCTGGAAGTTCATCTGGATGTTGCCGCTGGCCAAGTTGGTCTTCATCTGCTGCAGGATATGCAGCTGGCTCTTCGGGGACGCCGGGTCCGGCCTGGTGGTGAGGCGTATATACTTCAGGTAGCGACAATTCTTGACCAGAACCTCGAAGAAGTGGAGCAAGTTGCGAAAGTGGTGCGGCTCGGCGAGATGCGGCTCGTTCAGATGGGCCTCCCTGACACTGTCGTCCAAGTAGGGGCCAAACAGACGCTGGTAGCTACGGCCCCTGGCACCCCGCTCGATGCTGATGTGGTCTAGCATCCGGCTAGAGTGCAAGTGGCCCTTAACCTGGTCCCGCAACTGTTTGGCCCGCGACTCGTACATCTTCAGGTATTTGCCGCACAACTGCCGCCGGCTCGGCTCCTCCTCGGCCATCTGGGACAGCCGGAAGATGCTCTCCTCGTAGAGCAGAATGGCCTCCATGATGTGGCCGGTCTGCTCGCACTTGAGGGCATTGATGATGGGCTCCAGCTTGGGCAGTTCGCCATCATCGACGTTGGCATAGGGTTTGCTGGTAGTTGACATTGTGTTCGGACCGGAAATTTCTTTTTTTGGGTGTCTAGTTTTTGTTTCGTTTGCTAGCCAGGGGATATGACACTCAAGTCAGAGGTTCTTCCTAATCCACATTCCTAACATAATGACACATTCCCCATCTGTATTCCCCCATCATTTTATGCTCGAAATGGTATAATATTTTATTTATTTTTTAGAATTTTTATTAACAATTATTATCCTTCTAGTTGACCACGGGCAGCGCCAGCAAGCGCTCGCAGCTGAATCTCCAGCAGCAGCATTACAACAACCTGGACTCATCCATACTGTCTCAGCGCGAGGGCACACCCATGGGCGAGCTGACGCCCCACGAGGAGATCCTCTATCTGCGCCGGCAGCTGGCCAAGCTCAATCGCCGGGTGCTCAACATCGAGATCAACAATGAGCAGCGAACGCAGCGCGAGAAAATCGTCTACTGCCTGGGACTGGCCTACTTTGTGCTAAAGACAATATTCTGGCTGAATCGCAACTAAATGAGATCTTGAAATGGTGCCACCAACTTCACCATCTACCACTCATCCCACACCCAATATTGGACACCCTTTCCGGAACAGCTTCTTTAGTTTCACGACTTCTTGTTTCTTTTGTGGAAAAAAGGCTCTGAGAGAGACTTTGTTTTTTGTTTGCCATAACTATGTAGTTTAAGCTCTCCTCTCGGTAATAAATAAGCACAACACCTTTCTGTTTGTACACCGATGATAACCAAAAACAAGGCCCACGCCCCCAAAACTTAATTTTTAAGATTATCGATCTGGCACCTACTTAGCAAGCAATGTAGATCTAAATTTAAGCTTTAATCTCTGCAGCCCACAATTCTGTTCTGAGTCGAGATATTGTTTTAAAAGAAGGGTTGTGTTTTGTGTTTCTTTTTTAGATCTGTTTATTTTTATAGAACAACTGGATAATCCCAAAGTGAAAACGAGAACTCTAATGGTATTTGTATGCGATAATCCCATACGATAAATAGTTAAATATAATACATGTAGACCTAACCCACATATAAGAATTACCAGAAGCTGAGGAAATCCCTTAGACCTTATTGAATTCGTAATATTAAAAAATAAATTGTTTAAAGTATCTGAAGGTCTTTTATTCCAAACACCCAGTAAAAGTTATAGATTTAACGCTTTAAAAAAATGTATTTTTTTTATTTACGTATATATTATATATTAAGTCTACCGGTTAAATGCAATCGGAGCTGCTCCTGCTTCCGATTCCCGACTCCCTCCTTCATCAGCTAACAAGACGTCCTAAGACGAAAAGACCTGAGACCTCGTTTTGTTTTATTTTTGTGTCATGTTTGCGGTGTTTTAGCCCCAAATTATTATTATAATACCAATCCAGAGATTAACCAATGTTTTTGTATAATTTTTTATTTTTTTTAATGGAATTATTTTATCGTTTACTTTACAACTTTATATGCAAGATAAATTTTCTTTCTTCTCATCAGAATCGAACAAAAAAACACCTCAAACGTGCTTCCTTCTCCTCTTCTCTCTTCTGCTTCTTATTCTTCTTCTTCTTTATCTTCTTCTTTATCTTCTTCTTCTCATTCTTCTCCTGTTGGTTGTCCTTTTCTTTGTATATATATGTAGGTATTTATAAAAGAAACGACTCTACTATAAACTTAAATTCATATGTATAAATACAATTTTGCTTATTTTCGTGGTTGGTTTTTTATGGTTTTTTTTGTTCATTTCCCATGTAACGCGTAGCTGCAGCCCCAACAGGTGATCTTAACATTCGAGATGAGATGATTTGACAATCGTCTTGGATCGTGTTGGGTCTTCCACTATATTCTATTCAGATTGTTTACAAATGGGGTTTCTTCTTGTTTGATGTTGGATGTAATTTTTTTTTTTGTTGCATTTTTTGTTTGTAGGTATTATGTGTGTGTGTTTGTGTGTGTGTGTGGGTGACTTGGGGATGATGGTTGGGAGGAGATGGGTCTACTCGCTTTCATCATCATCATCCTCATCGGACTCATCCTTCTTGCTCTTCTTCGATGCCTTTTTCGCGGGTTTCGCGCGCTTCTTGGCACCGCCGTTGGCAGCACTGCTGCCACCATTGGCCTCGAACTCCTTAACGGCCCGATCGTAGTCATCCTTGGCCTTGGCAGCCTTGGCCTCCCACTCCTGCAAATTAATTAAAGAAGGTATAAGTTTGTCATTTAGAATTATGCAATTTTAAGAGTACTTACAGACTTGTCCTTCATTGCCCGCCATAATTCACCTCCCTTCTTGGCCACCTCGGTAACCTTAATGCCGGGGTTTTCCCTCTTGATGGAGTCACGGGCACTGTTGAGCCACAGCATGTAGGCGGAGAGTGGGCGTTTTGGTTTGTCGGCCATTTTAGTTTGTGTTTTTGTAAATAGTTCGAGCTGGAAGTGAAATATAAATGTTAGCTTCGTCTTCTAGATGATTTTATATATTTTCTGGCATTAGATTCAAGTTTTACAAAAAAGCCTACATCGACCTGAATTTTATAGAGTTTTGGCATTGGAATGATGCTCTGATTTTCTTCTAGAGTTGCCAGATTACTTGTACTTTGAGGGCCCATCTCTACCAGAGGCTGTACTTCCCGAAGAACCTAATTTCTTTACAAATCTTCCTATTAGAATGCAAATTTTCAGATTCTGGACAGGAAGACCCTATTTAATCCTTAATTACATGAAAAGTGGTCAACTTTAATGTCCCAAATACCTAAAAACTCCTTAAGTACAGTACATTTCATATATTTTTTTCTTAGCAGCGCGCCATGTTCCTGTACGCCGGCGGTTCGCTGCCGATGCGGAGCCGCCGCCGCCACCACCACCGCTGACGCCGGCAGAGCCAATTTTAAAGCAATGGCGACGAGCCAAAAGAGACGGCTATACTGCTCGCCGCTCTGCAGCAGCGCTGCCCTGAAAAAATGCGCGCGCGCGCGCTTTAGCCGAATCTTCAACGCGCGAGCCACTTAATAATTAATACAAAATTAATTGAACTGCTAGGGTCGGCATCAATCTTTTGAAAATTGCAACTATTTTCGCCACTTGCTGAAATTTGTGCCCTGCCACAAGCAGCAGCACACTCGCAGTATAGCGAGTGCGGAGAGCAGCGAAATGGCAGCACTTTTTCTGTATGCCTTGTATGCCCGTGGCTGCTTGGTACAGACTGCGACCGCTTTCAAAGGCCACGAAAACTCCAAGCACCCGGGAAAGCTATTTCCAAAGCACATTATTCTCTAAAAAATTGTTTAAACACAGTTAAGATGCTTAAACTAAGCAAGGAAGCCGTTTTAATTAATAGATTTCCAAGTGCTCAGTGAGGAGAGTAATGCACGCCACGCCTTCTGGTTATTTTTTGCAGAAAAATCTTTCTTTTTTGAAGTCAACTGTTAACACTTTGATTTTCTACTTAATTTCACTGAAATAATTCTTTTTCAACTTCTGGAGGAGACGAAATGTCTAACCAACCTTTAACGCTTGTCTCTAAAAAATAACTAAACAATGTGGCGTCGATTGCCAAACACGGAGCCGCGCCGCTGACGCTGTCGTTGCTGCTGCTGCGTAAGTCGACGTCGACGTCGGCAGAGGTGCAGAAAAATGCGGCAGATGTTCGGCAGAACCGGCGAATCGAAAGAGAAATCGCTAAATGTCGAGTAAAAACAAATGCAGGAAAATAATCTATTTTATGTGGAAAAAGCGCGCGTCGGCTGGCGTCCAATAAACAATTTTGTTGTGAAAATTTGGTAAATTGTGCAGAAAAAAGCAAATAAAGGCGTCGGCCATTTTGTTTTCCATCAGCGTCGCTTTGAAGACGCGCTTCTTCGTACCCCGCCGCCTCGCCTTGTCACGAATAAGTTTTCTTTTTTTTTTCACGCAAAATAGCAAGTAGCACTGTATCTACGAATCGAGTCTGTTTTCACTGAACGCCGCACTGCACTTTTTCAGGTAATGATTTTTAATATCAACTTTTCTTTAATGCCAGTAAAATATATTTAGCTCCTGGAGACAACCAACCTTCTCGTGTGAATTTGAAATTGAAATTAAAATTAATATTGGTGTTCGTTTTATATTCGGACGAGAAGGCTGAAAACGCCGGCAGAGCTGCGCTGTCGAGTAGGGAGAAAACGCCGGCAGCGCTGCCGCAGCGAGAGAGAGCCGCTCTCTTCGCTGCCTCGAGTGTGAAAAGGGAGGGCGATAAATGGAATGTAAAAACAAATAAAAACGCTTGGGTGAAATTACGATCAAACTAACTAGACTTATTTTGGAAGTAATATTCTAAAATTAAGTATCTCTAACTAAAAGTAAATAGTATTTGTTTGCCAAAGAGCTATTATACAAAGAAGAGCAACAGGAAACCTGAAAACTCTTCTCGCTCGCACTGGTACACACTGCAGTGCAAACGAGGGTCGCTTTTAAAAAATGGCGCCAAAATTTTTACATGCAAGAAAATTAGACATGCAAAGGAAATACATATAGGAAAATTGTAGGGTACCCTATAGAGTATATTGTAGGAAACTTTAAACTTCAATATATATTTACAAGCAATTTGTTTACCAAAAAATTAAAAACCTATGACTCATCTCAGCTTGACGTTGGTTTGGGATTGAAAAAACTAGGTACTAGGATCTAGTCCTCTAGTCAAGCTTATTACAACCTTTTATATAGAAACTATGTTTATATCCTTTGATTTCTGATTATTTTCATAGGAATACTCCAACCGAGTCATAAATTATAAACAATATCATTTCCATATACGGCTTTCAAGATCCTAAACCCTCAGTTATAAAGCTATGTAACTGTGATATTGCCTTTATCTATGAAACCGTTACAATTTGCCCAGATTTAAGGGCAGATGCTACTAAGCATTTTCCCACCATAACATCGTAAATAACCGAAAATGCGAACAAAGGATGTTAGGGCGAACTGCATCCTACCATTGTCGCTGCATTTTTTTCTTCCTTAGCGGCTGCTTTAAGGACAACGATGTCACGCGCTGTTGCAAGTTCACAAAGGACACCCTACACAGAGAAAAAAAACCCTTTGTATGATCCCTAAACATCCACCCCTAGTCCTCTTTCATGTCAGTAGGTAAAGAATTCTTCAACCACTTTATAAATTTTGTTTCAGTGTATCGTATGAAACGGGAGAATCTTAGAGGGAAGGCAGATGATGGAAATCCAGTACCTGAAGGAAGAACGTTGGAAAAAAATGCATTTTGTTGCATCCAGAAGGGATCTCAGGAAAATATCCATATAGAGGGTAGGCTAGGAATCTGAGAAAAAATTAATAGGCCTTCGGCCATTTAGAATTCCCTCGATCACTCCAAGTTCCAATATTCATTCAGCTTTATAAAACTATTTTTTTTATTGCAGTTTGTTGCACCAGTGACGTCATAGCTTGTTTATAATCCACTCTCTCCAGTAGACCTGCGCAGCATCTTCTCAGTCTCTCTCTCGCATTGGTTCTCGTCTTCGTAGCCCCAACACACCATGGGGTCAAGGAGCAAATTTTTCGGTCAAAAGGCATTTTATGAAACTCTAAATATCTTAAAAAAAAGGATATAATAGAGTAACTACCTTAGTTTCAATGGTTCATAAAAATATCAATGTTTTTATCAGGGAAAAATCCTTTAGTTTAAAAAGCAAATTATCAAGGTTTTTTCAACATTGTGGTAGGTCCTCTCTTCTAGAGTACCTCTCTTCTAGTAGAGTCTTGTCCTCTTTCGAAATAATGAAGTTTTAAAGAGCACCTTTTGTGAAAGTAAGATTTTTCAGAGGAAACCTCAAAATTTCCTGGACAGAAAACCGGCCCACAAAAGTTCTCGTTGGTCCCATAGTACAAAGCAACATTCAACGCGAAAAAGCACGATTTCAGCAAATTTTCATGCTTTTTGCGTTGAAGGAACTCTGGGTGTTTTGTTTAAAAATATTTATTGCACGAACTTGGAATAAACAAAATGCTTTCAAATGCTTTTGGAGTTCGAATTTGAAGAAATAAAGAACATTTTTGTTTATTGATTTTAAAATCAGGTCCAGTTAGACAGGGATTTTTATTTTTGTAAAGGTCTATTTTTAAAGATTAGAAAAAGGTATAATTTTGAATTTTGATAGTTTTTGCGTGCGATTTGTAAAGGGAAAGGCAATGATTGATAAAAGCATCGTGAAAGCGAGACTGCGGTGGACCCGAGTTTCAAATGGCTCTGAGAAAAGCAAAGCAGAAAAGCAAAGCAAAGCAGAAAAGCAAAAAGCAGAAAGCATGTGGGGAGACCGTCAGTTCGCGAGGAGCACTGGCGCACAGAGGTTATAGCTGAACTATTCCTATATCAATTTTTTTCTTTTGTGCTTTTTTAGAAGATATCAACCAGATAGAGAGGTGTATTTAAGGCAGGATGTCCAACACAGCCAGGGCCACGGTTCCGTTTCGGTTCACGGATGAACGTACCCTGGTATTCGTAATACTCTATGGCCGGGAACCGTGTCTTTGGAACAAGAAACAGTATTTGCAGCGAGCTCGAAACGCCGCCTATCGTCGCATACAGACGGGGATCAATTCCGTTACTGAGCCCCACGAAGCTCACCTTACAGTTCAGGGCGTTAAGATGAAGATTAAGAACTTGCGAAGTGCTTATCACCAGGAGCTTAAGAAGATCAGATTGAATCCCGAATACCAGCCGAAAACCCCATGGTTCGGGCCACTTCACGAGTTCCTCGGCGAATTCATTGATACGGTAATTTCGAATTCGAATTCTAACATAAATCTCTTATCTATTTCGAAGGTGACTCTCGGCGATAGTCTTTTAACCTAAACTAATCTTCGGAACTACACTATCGCTTTCACTTCACAGAACGAATTGTCATCGCCCGATACACCTCCGCTGAAGCGTTTGCAGATCCGCCTAACCAGGGTAAAGCCCATTAAGATCCATCCTGAGGTCAAGCTCGAATCCGAGGAGGTCGTGTGCCCGGAGACACGATCGGAACCCTCGACCACATTCACTGTTCTCCCAATGCCGATGGCCATGAGTGTGGATAACCCACCCACTCCTCCTGATTCTTTGTCAAAGATTTTGGAAACTAACTGGGTTCCACCTCCGGTTTCTGTCCAGATAACGGAACCTATTCCAGCTGGATGTTCCGCCTCGGAAAAGGGCGAGGTTTTGGGAAGCACACAGGGATCTGTGACTGGAACGGGACTGGGACTCGGAGTGGGAATGCGCGGCGAGGACGAGTTCACCTTCTTCGGATTAAGTGTAGCTGCCCAGCTCCGTAATATGCCACTGGCCAATGCCATGGTCATGCAGTCGAAGATCCAGTACATGCTGGCCGTGGAAAGACGTAAGATCTCGGGTCATTCCACAGACGTGAACATTTTTAAATAGAAATCTATAATTAAATGAGATCCGACGGTGTCATAGAGCAGAGATGCCCAAAACCCTATCACAGGGGTCCAGAAATTTGTCTTTAAGATTAGTTAGATAATGTGATCTAACACAGGATCTCTGTGTTTTATTATGATATATAATTTCCTTAATTATAAGGTTTAAAAAGAACAGAAGTTGATTTTCTGAACATATCCGTTGTAAAAACCCCTTATCCTCGTAACAATATGTATATCTGTTAAATTATAAATATCTAAATAACCTTTTCTTTAAGAATTACTGTATAAAAATACAATAAAATATAAACTAAATCTTCTAATCGGCTTCACTTAGCGGGTGTGGACTGTGCCTTCGGAAGAGAAGCCGAACCGAAAGGCATGTGGGAGAAAGCAAGAGCTAATCGTACTGTACTCGTAGAACAGTGGCGAAGAGAGCCAAAGAACGGTAGTGTAAAGCTATAGATATCACTCGGATTGGGGAAATATCTTTTTTGATTTTCGGGCTGGCCAGACCCCCTATATTTGTGTGTGTACCTTTGAAATTCACAACTAGGGAGACAACTGAGACACTGAAACCGGACGACAATCGTTTATTTTTTATGATTTCTTATCATTTTGACAGAACTTTTAGACATTCTAATACCCTACCGTTATATTGATCTTCAGGGCTAACTGTAGAGGTTTCTAATCAAAGTGGAAGTCCCTTATGGGAGTACTGTGACCACCCAAACAGAGGACACACTTCACTTTCGCGGCTCAAATTGGGTCACAAAGGAGTTGGTTTGTCCTGTTCCTGGTGGGCCTTTTGTTATTGCTGTCGCTCCTACAAAGGGTTCCAGGGAATGTGTTCGGTTCGAAAGGCTGAAGATACTGAACTTGGCCGTGGACGCCGATGGGGGGCCATTCGGTAGCTCTTGTTGTTGTTTCTCGCACACACACTCGCAGAAACCAACAAGAACGCATCGTCAGCCCATCCGTATTGTTCTGGGGACCCGCCTGCCCCACACTGTCCCCCATATTCGCTGCACCATCACAGCGCCAAAATCAGCTGTTCGACGGAAACGAACGACGCGAACGCCAAAATCGAGTGAACAGCCGAAAGAGCAACAATTCCATACAAATTATGGGTAAAACGAAGCACTGTTCACCTTAAATTTTGCTCAGGTGGGCTTGGTTCTTCCACCTGTTAGTCAAATAGTATAGGAGAGATATTAAAAGGAACTATACCGTTAGGTTAATAAATTATTTTAAAGAAAGGACTTGCTTTTATATCTAATATATCTTAAATTGTTTTTAAGAAATCATAAAACTACAAGATTCATAGTTTAAAAGCTTTTAAGCCTTTATTGTATTTTACAACACTGAAAATTGACATCCGATCGCTTGAAAGGATGTGTTGACAACTCTGTCGTGAAAAATGCCATGGGAAATCAGATAAAAAAGTGCATAATCCTAATCCCTTCTAATTGGGTATAATTTGCTGCAAATGTGGCGCCAATCAGCTATTTTTATCCGGATCATAACGGCAAAAAAACGAAGTAAATTACTTGGCCATATGGTAAGCATACATATTTGTTATGAAGTCGCCTGGAGACGCCGACAACAACAAGTACCCCGTGTTCAGACACATCCAGTCCACATCCAGGAACCCAGCTTGCATCCTGCTGTGATGTACTTCAGTCTCCTGATTGTCTGACTATGGGTGTGTGTGTTTGCAACATTTGCTTAGGCAGACTCCTGCCGTTGTTCGGAGTTTCCATGAAAGGCACAAAATACTCACAGTCCACAGACCCTCCTCAAAATAATATGTGAGTTTTGCAGGCAAAATGATGCCGCCCAGGGCCTGTGGTCCAAGTCCAGGCAACAGGAATCAAATCAAAATCAACCTAAGCTGGGTAAGCTGGGTCGGGGAAGGACGAGGCAGGCACTAACATCAAGGATCTTATAGAGAAATGCTCAGAACACACACAGAAAGGACTGCTGTACGCTCTTAGACCATTACCAAGATGAAAAGTTGCCAAGAAGAGAAACAGGACGGAGAATGCACTTCATATGGTAAGTGACTAAAGATTAACTAATCTTTTTAGAAGGAAAAACATGATTATCCAGCTTCATGTAAGGACTACATAGTTCTAGTATTTGCATTCTAGTTATAAATATAATTTCGTAGGAATTCGTTCTTCCGGGTCTGTACACCCCGTAGAGCATTGGCTCTTCGATCGAAGAAGTTTCTCGCCCGAGCCTGGCACACTCGAGTACATACGCATGCAGCAGGCTCGTTATATCCACATCCTGTCAAATGTGCGCCTCATGCGTCCCCAATTCGATGAAGCGTTGCTCGCCTGCTTGCCTGCTCGGCTCGTTAGCTGCTGGTTCGTTTTTGCATACTCCGACCGAGCGACGAACTGCTGGGCCCCCTTCCGCCCATCCTGGACTCTTCCATCCACTCTTGGCCGACAATTGCCACCACCGAAAGCCGCCGCCAGTAGCGTCAGCCCGACCGCCGACTGCAGCCCGCCCAGGTCTCTCACCTCCCAGGAACGGCAGCAATAGCAGCAGCAGCAAAAGAAGCAGCATAAACGGCAGCAGCAGAGTCGCACAGTCAGCCCGAAAGCAACGCCGAGCCAAAGCCATAACATCCCATCCCTCCCCCCGCCATCCCCCCGGCGATATTATGGATGTGGAAGGCGCTCGGTGTGTTACACAGACACGGCTGAAATGAGACGACAAACAACCATAATAATCGACCGACCCACTGGCACGGTGGGATCGAAAGGCCCGGTACCGGCACACGGTACCGGTAAGCAAAAAAAAAATATGTCTCGAATGGCGACTGTTTCTGAATCTTGAAATATTGAAAATTAATCCTGGCTTTTGTTACATCAACCCCTTGTTTGGTAGGAACCCTTACTATGCTTTAGGGTAAAGGTCAATGATCTGTAAAATATCCTTGTCCCATCAAAGGATACAGTTCTTAAAACCTATTCAAAACACTATGCATTTTAATAGGGAAGTAGCTTGATTAATGATGAAGAGTTCTATTGTATTACTGACTTTGGAACATTGCAGTCTTAGAGAATGTATGGAACAGCATCCGAAATAGTTAAGATACCAACTATTGGATCTGTAGCACCCAAAGATATAGAATAATCTGAATGATAATTAAATAGACATATCATATTCCCTGTATTTGTGAATTTCGCTTTGAGATACTCCCAGGAATCTGGTTAATCCGTTGAGTGGTTAAACATTATTGTCCCATTGCCTTCTGTGTACACCCTACAGTCGAATCTCTGTGGCACGTCGATTGCATGGCTTGGGTTGGTGAGAACTGTGTTTGCTTCGCATGCGAACGTCGCTCCGCTCTCTCTCTGGGACTCCGCATCGCCTTCATACGCTCCATACACTCGCTCGGTTCGTATTTTCGCTGCTGTAGCTGTACTGCGGTCTTCAGCTATACGGCTCATGGCTCTATAGAACGAGATACAGGCGAACGAACCGACTGCGAGTCGAAAAACAAGCGAGCCTGGTCGACTTGCGGCATCCTCTTTTTCATGCACCAACCTTTGGGTGGCTGTTTGTCAGTTTTATGATTAGATAAGGTATTTGTAACTCTCAGATCTGATGTCATCTATTTTTCTGTCTTTAGTTTGATCCATACCGCTAACCAATTCTTCCGGAGATTGAAATCTTTCTTAGCTGAAGACTTAGAAGCTTCTAAATACTTATTTCTTTAGAAGCTTTATGAATCAGCAAACTTCTTAGTTTCTCAAAACTTAAATTAAAAATGTTTTTAAAAGACTTCCATTGCCTATCATATATTAAATAATTTTTTCAATAAAAATGATATATAATTTATCATAATAAATTTAAATAAATCATATAGATAGGTTAGAACTTCCTCTATTAAATGCCCAACACCCAGAATATCTTTAAGTTTTAAGTAATATTGATAACCAAGTACTTATCCATCATTTTAAACCAAAATATCTCTGATTTTTTGAAAGAAAATATCAAATTTCTTATTTTTTATTAAATAATTAAAAAAAATTAAATCCCTGATTATGGCTAATAATGTTTTCAAATCATCCTCATACCAGGTATAACCCATCCCAGTTATAAATATGTGGAATACTATGGATGGTATTCCCAGGAACAGAGAAGTACAATGATAATATTTTTAAAATAACCAAAAAATATAATATTTCTAATGATGGTATCCCCTTATTTTAGATGGCATTTTGTGGATAAGGATTCTGCTGAGCGTTCCTCATACCCAGTACACCCCATGTGAGTGGTAAGTTCTTCCAAAATTTAACAAAAATGTTGAAAAGATAAAAAGGCAAACCCGTCCAATGTGTACCGAACCAAAGGCAAGGCAAACCCAGGCGGCCATGTTCAATGCTCTGACTCTGCGCTCTTGCTGTTGATACCCCAGCTCCCCCGGCACACCGCCCTACACCCCGCCGCATCCGTCCATCTGCCGCCAGTGTGTTCATATAACCGACCGAACCGAACGAACGAATTCGTAGCTACAGCTACAGCTACTACAGCTACGTTGAGCTGCTACCCATACAGATGCCATGCCGACCAGCAACCAGCCAGGCCAGATACACACGTACGGATGTATCTGTGAGTCGTTGCTCGCACATAGCACGCACACAGATACAGGGCAGAGTGCCTGAGTTTGCGTCGTACTCGTGTTGCCTGTGTGTATGGCTGTATGGCTGTATGGCTGTACGGCTGTATGCCTGCCTCTATGGCCGTATGGCTGGCATTCACTCTGTGTATTTGATATTCCAAAGGCAAAAGCTGTACTACGGCCGACTGCTCGACTTGAGTTTTAGTGGAAGAAAATTTATAAAGTGAAAATACAGAGGCAGCAAGCAAGGCAGCAAGGCAGCCAACAGCCAGCACCAGGCACCAAGCACCAGTACTGAAACCATCTGAACCAAACTGAACTGAAACGGCGAACGAACGCCAGTGCAAGATACATTGAGGAGCATACATAGATTTTTTTTGGCTGCAATTAAACGCAAATTACGCGACATTTTTATACGGGTGAGTGTCAAGTGTTTCACTACGATTGATCCGTCATTCTATCGCCTCAATTATCTGGCCAAAAGTCATCGCCAGCGTGGCCATTTATTATATAAATTTTGCGAAAAACTTAAACCAAACGACCCAATTTCAGTTCGGTGTTCGGTAGTAGTCTGGCGTGGGTTATATTCTCCTATACTACTTGGGACTTCCATCATGTAGAGCTTGCTTGGTTTTGGTTAGGTGGCTCTCGTACTGGCCATAGTCGTCGACGACGTCGTGTATTGGATTGAAATTTTTGAATGGAGGGCGCGCGCGAAATATTGACGGTTATTTTTTGAAATTTATGGCGTATGAGAGTGTGCTCGCTCGATGATTACTCAATCGATTGATATGTAAATGTCAAATCAATATTCTAGGTTAAATACATTTTTCCATTAAGATTCATTTTCCAAATTTAATTTTTTTTGAAAACACTAGTTTCCAAAAATCAAAATAATGTTAGGCATTGGATGAAATTTTGGATTATAAGAGTACTTCATATATATATTTTTTTTTGCATTTTGCGGATAGGCGGTAGGCGGGACAGGTGGGCCGGCGGCGGCAGCAGCGTTTTAGTTTCGGTTTCGGTTTATATGTGACGACGTTTTCATATAATGAGAGGGGCACAGTAGAGGGAGGGAGGGGGGAGGGGTTGGCCGGGAGTAGGGGGTAGGGGTGCCCGAGGGGCAGCGGCTTCGCCGTCAAATACTACTGGCATTTCGTTCGCACAGAGCTCACGCTCTGCTCCATGCTTTTTATTTGGGCGAACAGCGTGCAGTCGCGGCAAAAATATCCAGTACATGCTCTCTTAGAGAAATTCCAAGGGGTTTGGGTTGTCGTAAACAAGCGAGAGATCCAATTCAAGACTTGTTTACTAGTGGGAGATGTTTGTATATATTTTGTATAAATAATAAAAATATTCTCATTAATTCTCCATCAGCAGAAATAGTGCCTAGCATTCATAGGGCTTTTATTATTTAAATTTAATTATTTTTAAGACAATTTTCAATATTCTTTCCCTTCACTGTGCATGCGCTCTTTGGAAAGTTTACCTCTCAACGGGCTCAATTTGCTGGGAGGCAACTGTGAGGCCACGCAGCTACAAATGATTTTCCCACCAGCCTGGGAGACAGTCACCAGAGGCAGCAGCAGCAGCAGCAGCAGCAGCTGTGCCAACCGATTTGCCACGACTGTGTATCTACACCACCCTACCCGCAGTCCGACGGCGTATCTGCTGGCCTGTGTGTTGGTTGGTTGGCTGGCTGGTTCGACTCTCAGATACAGATACTTTGCTGCCTGTACTACTGCGCTGGCTCTGTGCTGTGTGTTATTTGATGGTCTCGCTGTTCGCTGTTCGTTCGTCGACCGCCTGCCTGCCTGCCTGTATGGCTGCCTCTGTGTATGCCTGTACGCCTCTTCGCCCTGTGCCCTCGGCCATCGTCAGTGCCCCTGCTCTACCGATTCTGTTTCGGTTCGTTTTGGTTTGGTTTCTGTGTGTAGCTGGCGTAGCTGTAGCTGCTGCCGTCGCTGCTTTGCTTGCCTTGCTTTGCCTGGCTGGCTGGCTGGCTGGCTGGCCTGGCCTGGCCTGGTACAGCTGCTTCAGTTGAATTTCAGTTCAGTTCGCCTTCCTATAGACGCTTGCCCGTAGTACGTTTTGTTCGGTTGCTCAGTATTCAGTGCGATTTGCAGGCGGCAGTAGTAGAAGCCAGTATCCCAGTATCCCAGTACCCAGTATATCACACAGTTGTAGCCAGAAGAAGTAAAGTCAACACACAGAGCCAAAGTACGTACGTAGATATGGCAATACGAGTATTTTTCATACGATTTTTGCACTCTGCTGGCCAAGCGCATTTACACTCGTCGGCAAATTGGCTGGCCAGGCCTTTGTATCTTTGTATCTTTCTATAACTCTGTTCAAATGTGGAAATCATGTGCCTTGGGAAATTGCTTTGATTGTGTATTTAGTTAATTAGGCCTGAGAGATTTTGTTCAAAGGTTTAAGTTGAAGGGATTTTAAAGCGATCCCATGACTTGGTTAGGTTAAAGTGAATTTTTAAAATAAAATATATTAATAAAATAAATTATAAATATGAGTAAATAAATTATAAAGTGCCTAAGAATTTAAAAATCTAGCTATTTAGGTTAACTATTAAAAGATTTATACCATTTTGCCTTAAAAATTAGTCATTAAATAGATAGTAATTTAAAGAATATTATATCTATTTTTTTTTAAGCCTAATCTTAGAGTTATTTTTTTGATTATTTCACCTATTGATCAAATCTCTGCCTGACTAGTGTATTTTGGGGGCTCTTCCGCCGCCAACCGGGAAACATTCCTCAGTGCAAGTCACTTTCAGTCGCACCTGCTCGGTGGGGCTTTTGATTTCTGATCGGCTTTGGGTCTCACCTTCGGCAAAGGGCCACCCGCTGTCCACCCACCTGTCGCCATCTGAGGCTTCACTTGGTTCTCGGTGTGCTTCCAGTCTTGGCACTTTTCGAGTGCCTTGCCGGCTTAGTCAGACGGGCTAATGTTGGTTTATAGAGATGTCTTCTTTTGAGGATACCGATCTTTTTTTTTAAAGGATCGTTAGATGACATTCTCCATTTGGTTTTTGTGGGTAGGCGGCAGGAATTCGATTCGAAGTTTATAATTATTTTGTTATCCATGCCGTGCGCGTGTTTTGTTTTTATTTTTTTTAGCGCTTTGCGTGCTGCACTCTCGAGTGCAAACTAAAAATGGCGCCAAAAGTTTTGTCATTGGAGGCCCCCCCACTCTCACCCACACATAGGAGGCCGATGAAGAGCGAGCGAGAGCGTGCTAGAGCGACAAAGCTCTATTCTTTAGCGTGCATTTACAGTTATAAAGCTCTTTTCGCGCCATTTTTGTGCCGTTTCCGAATGAAATCTCCCGGCCCAGATAGCCGGTCAGGGCTACCCACAAGTCAAAATTCGGTTATTTAAGATATCCCTCAAAGTCACCGATCTCGTGCGCTTGCCCGCCCTCTGCTGAGAGATCCCTGATAACGCTAAGCACCTCTCACTGGTGATAGTGTGGCTTTTAAATATTATCGATCCCTCTGGGGAGTACATGGCCGTAATAAAAAGCAAAAGGGAATCGGGTTGAGTCAATAATATAATTTATATGTTTTTTTTCGTTTCATACTGATTAGCCAAGTCAGCCATTCAGTGCTAATTCTGAGAAAAACAATGCCTCCAAAAATATACTAAAACTCATGGTTTTCCCTCTAAATAATATACAACCCACTAAAAACTTCCCTTGAGAGTCATTTCCATTGAGCCAGGAAGGGCTAACCATCTAGCTTCACTTCCTTTTGTGGCAAAATAATGACAACCTACCCTTTGATTTTTGCCACGACTGTACTGTTGCGTACACTGCGCAAAAAGTGGGATAGAGAACAACGGTCGTTAAACGAGAGCATTATCAGCATTATGTATCCCCTCGTAAAAAGTCACCACTGTGCGTTCCACGCTCTCCATGCCAGAGCCCAGAACACATAACACGGACACGGGCAGCAAACATCCAGTGCGCAAATCCCTGGGAAAGTATCTACCCTAAAATGCTGGCTCTGCGCACAAGCTTCGTTCCGTTTGGTTCCGTTTGCCGCTTCTGTTGCAATATTTGGTGGTTGGGTGGCTCGGTGGTTACTTTACTGCTGGGTGGTTGGGTGGTTGGGTGGTGTCGGGACTCCGGACGGGGCATTAAAAACACACGCCATAAACACACACATATTCTCGCCCCCGATAAGCGTTGTCAGTTGTCTCTCAGTTGACGTCAACGCCGCTGTCGCTGTCGCCGTCGCAGTCGCTGCTACCGCTGCAGTCACTGCTTCAGCCGGCGGCGACTGCGACGGGTAACGTCTGCTTTTCAATTTTAGATCGACAAAATTACAGTGGTTTTTGTTGGCTACTGTGTTGAAAGGCTTTATATTTTGCCTCTCCTTATTTTTTATTCCGTTTAATGTCCTTTGTGTCCTGCGTCCTGGGTCCCAGTCTGTTTGCCGTCAGTCTGGCCTCTTATTATATGTCCAGCGGTTTCGTGGTGGTAACACGTTGCGTATGCGTAATGTTGTCACTGTTCCCACTGCCTACGCTGCGTATGCGTAATATTTTATAAATGATATGTGGCATTTCGCACTAGAAAATAGGTGTTTGGTGGAAAACACACATGTATTTGTATTTTTAGGTACATGTAGCTTTATATTATCCTACAGAGAGTATGTTCTACCCGCAATTTCTGTGAAAAATAAAGTTTTCCAATGTGTGGTAAACCCTTCAACTTCACTAACAACTTAACTGTAGCCATGCAGCCCACTTAGGCCACTTTGCAAATGTTTTCTACCTTGTTAGCTTCACTGCCAGAGCACAAAAACGAGCTCGCAGCGCAGAACAACGGATACAGATACATCCAGTGGCCGCCACACACACACACACACACAGATACACAATACACCCATTCTGAGGAGGAGCAGGAGCAGGATAGACGGGAAATGGTTTTCGCTTTCGATTTTCTGGGCTTGCCCCCTTTTCCTGTACCTACTAGATGAGGTGGTATCCTGGTTGCATCACGTGTTGCCGCAATGTGCGAAACTGTCTATCCTCTGTGCCCCCAAAACTGGGTGGGGAGGTGGGGAAGTAGTGTGTGTATCTTGTGGGTGTGTGCGTGGCCGCGTTGAACTAGCAACAATTTTGCCGCCGTTTTCCTGTTGCTCCTGGACACAGCCATGTCGCAGGATACGATGCACACACACACAAGCACAGATACATACATACAAACATACTTGTATTGTGTTTGTATTTGTATCTGTGGCCCGGGGGCAATTGAGGATGTTGTGCAATGTGCGGAGGCGGTTGCCTGATTGATGCGGCACTGCCGGACTGCCTGCCTGCTTGCCTCCTTGCCACCACCTTCTCTTCCTCTCTCCGGTGCTGCAGTGCTGATTTATTTCGTTGGTGGCATCCTCGGTCTTCCTCACGTCGCCTTCCCAGAGCGATTTCGAGTCGTTTGTTAACCCAATTCACGTTGTTATGCTTCCAGCTCCTTGGCCCCCGTGCTTCCTTCCCCGGGGATGTGCCTGTCGATGTCTCGTGCATTTTGCGCTGAATTCTGGATTTGGGTCAAGTGCATGGCTTATGGCAGTTGTTTTGGGTGGCAGATTGTCGCCATCGTTTGCGACATTTGCATGCCATTTTCCAGCTGATTTGTGGCACTGACGGAAAAGGACCTCTCGTCTTGAGGGGTCACTGGCGCTGCCACGAAATCCTTTTATCTGGGCCCCCAAAGTGCAGTGACCTCAGTGACCATACATATGTACACCGAATTAAGAGTACATAAGAGACTGTATCTCTCTCCAACCACAATTAATTCGGAATATTGCTGCCATAAATAGCAATTATATACGGGCCTATGTACAAAGCCGTCAGGATTATGTATAAAAGTATTCGATTCCGATGGCTGGAGTGTGTGCATGGGCGACGGAGTGAGGGTGGATGGGTGTCACTGCCGTGTGTTATTGTACAGACAGGCATATTTAATTAATGCCTGTTTGTATCCGAACCGAAAATGCAATTATTGAATATGCCACACACGCGGAGGCAGGACCTCTGTGGCGAGTGTTTGTGGGGGTAAGATATATTTCGCGGTGCTTATCAAAAATTCACGAATGGGTATTTATAGATTTGAATTTTTGATCAGGGAGTCACTTAGATTTTAGCTTCAACCTGTCAGTTACTTGTACTAAACATTTTACTTTCAATTCTCTTTCCGACAGCAGCTTGAAAGAGAAGCTACCGAATTTCCGTTGAAAAAGCAAAAGAAAAACCAGAAACAGAAACCAACATGAGTGGAGAGCGCCCGAAGCGTCCTTTGTCAGCCTACATGCTGTGGCTCAACGAGAACCGCGAACAGATCAAGAAGGATAACCCCGGCAGCAAGGTGACAGACATCGCCAAGCGAGGTGGCGAGCTCTGGCGTGGACTGAAAGACAAATCCGTAAGTGGCACAAAACAGGCAATCCCCCACACAATCGTACTAATCCCTATGCTTTTACAGGAGTGGGAACAGAAGGCCATCAAGATGAAGGAGGACTACAACAAGGCGGTGAAGGAGTACGAGGCCAATGGTGGCACCGATTCGGGGGCGCCCAAGAAGCGAAAGAAGCAGGCCGCCAAGCCCGCCAAGAAGGCCAAGAAGAAAGAGTCCTCCGAGGAGGAGGAGGAGGACGAGAGCGAGTAGACAGTAGGAGGTGGCCAGTTAATTGCTGCCTCCCAGCGGGCAACGTTTTCTGCATAAGTTTTAAAATACATTTTATTAATGTAATTTTTTAAGTGACATAGAAAAAAAAAAAAACAAAAACCCCAAAAAATGGAAACCAACAAAACTTAAGTAAAAAAAAAAAAATCTCAAAAAATGCAAAAAAAAAAAAAATGAATTAAGACCTTAAATCTTTAATATGCACTAACTCCATAAACATGAGATACACAACATACACACACACACACATGCCAACACCCAGGCATAGATACTACAGACACAGACAGAGCATAAACCATATAACTAAGTTAAAGAAGTGAAGCCACACAGACACATAATTTCCAGTCGGACAACTTTAGCAACTGTTCTATATATTATTCTAGGTTTGTACGTATAACTGTAACTATATGTATGACACTCTTTTTGGAACACACACACACACATAAACACGCCAAAACAGACCCCACGCCCCAGCCCCCTTTAGCCACTTTCTTCGATTGCATCAAGTTATTTGAATTTTGGGTCCTTCGACTCGAAAGCAAGAGTTATATATATACATATATATAAATTTTAAACTATATACATAAATATATATTTGAGTATATATTGTGTAATTTAAAAATGAAAACAAACAAAACCCATATTACAAATATGTAATTGTGAATGTAGAGCTGAATGGAATATTTAAAAGAAAAAAAATATAAAAAATTGTGAAAACATTAAGAGGATTTTTTTAATTTAGTTCCTGGGGGGTGTTCTGGAATTGGCTAGGATGAGCTTTTTCCTGAACTTTGGTAAGAGTTTATGGTTAGCTTTTCAATATCTTCACAGCTTTCATATCGGATATATCTTGGATGATATTCTTTATGATTTTTATGATCTGTTATGATTATTTATTAATAGATTTAATATGGTACTTTTATGCTTCATATACTTTGAGCTTAATCCTGGTTAGAACCCCTTTTTAAAGACCCTAGTACCACTGTCCTTCAAGAGCGCCTGCGTTACTTTTGTTTAGACTAACCAAAGGCAGTCTAACTTTTTGTTGTTCAGTTTATCTTCTTCTGCATTGGCGACTGGTGACATTCTCCCGCGGATCGAGGACCTTTTCCCCCCAACAACAAACCTTTTTCCCCATCCAGAGGGTCAAGTAAGTTACCCAGAATGGAAGTCAACGAGAAGGTTATAAAGACTAGAGAAACACGAGTCCTAAAACCTGCCAAAGTCGCGATTTAATTCAACCACCTGTGGCGCTTCGTTATCTGCGGAAAGCAAAGCCAGTCGGTGGGAAAACAAAGAGACACTCTCGGTGTTGCAACATCTGGAAAAATCAATAATGCGTAGAGCATATGGATGGCAGGCAGAGGAGTAGATAGCATAGAATAGCAGTCTATAAGGTCAAGTGCATGCTATTATGGTCGCGTGTACTCCTGACAAATTAATCATACGCCGTGTGCAACACGCACCCAACTAAACCCGTTTCCCCGCCTCTCATTGCTCCCCTCCCCCCGCTTAATTACAGGCTAACGACCCTGAACCCTTCGGCCGGAGCTCCAGGTGACAGTGAACTTGGCGGCAGGTTGCTCGCCAGCATGTCCAGCATGGCGCGCTTTCGCAAGGTAATTGTTTATAGTTTTTCTATTTTTATTTAAAACATTAGTGTTTTTATTTATTTAGAATTAAAATTTTTAAAGTTAATGATTCAAACATTTTATTTTGTTATTTTTGTGATGTCCTTGAATTTTAGGAAATAGAGTTCAAGAGGTTAATGGGTGACTGTAGTAACCCTTACTAATAAACAAACTATGGGCACGCGCTGGGGTTAACCGTCTGTAGATGGCCACAGCAGATACTATGATAGGTTTCCCCCTGCCTGGATGAGCCATTGGCGTATTCCGGCGCTACTGATGGATGTGCGGGCGTCTGGGGGCCATTACCATGCGAGGCACACGCGCTGTCCCACTGTTTTTGTTGTTTTTATTGCATTTGCGTGCTGGTTCGCCTTGCTTTTTTTTTTTTTTTTTTATTTTTGTGGCGACCCTCGAGTGATGGAACGTGCGGCTCATTCATTCATTTTCAGGTGAACCGTCCGAGCGAGGAGCTCGATCCGACGGCGAGTGCATCTCTGCTAAAGTCATCCCCCAATATACTTGAGAACTTTGCCTACGAGGAGTTCCTGCAGCCGAATCACTCGCCTCTCCAGAGGATGGCCACCACACCCAGTTCCGTCGCAGCCGTCAGGTCGAAGCCGGAGCCCAAGTTTTGCGACACCCTGGAGCGACATGCCTTCATGAAGTACGTGATCAATCCCCAGCCCAAAAGCGTCCGCCGCTACTCCAGTCCGGGCGAGAAGGAGGCGCAGGTGCGACGCAGCCTGGAGGAAATCACCAAGGATGTGAAGGAGATCGAACAGTTCCTGAGCGCCACCGAGGAGCTGCTGCAAAAGGAGAAGCAGCAGGAGGAGGAGCAGGAGCGGGCCTTGAGCGCCAATAAGGAGAACAAGTCCCCCAGTCCGATCCGTCGCATCACCTACAAGATCAATGCTTACAAAGCTCCACCCCGCAGGCATCGTCCTGGCAGTCCCAGGTTCTACCAGTCGAGGCTCTACTTTCGGAACGGTAGAATCGGCTGTGTGGAGTCCTCGGAAAACCAGAACAATGTGGGTGCCACCCACGCACTGGTCAAGCACATCCTACGGCACGAGAAGCCACTGGTTAGCCCGGATAGTGTGAGGAGAGTGCTCCAGCCGGAGACCTTCGAGATGACTCCTCTCCCAGGAGCCGTACCGGAGATTGTGCCGGATCCCATAGCCGTTCAGAGGGCTGAGGAGCTCGCTGCCGCCACAGGTCAGGTGGTGTTGGAGGACGAGGAAGAGGAGGAGGCTGTGGAGGAACCAGTGCAGCCGGTTATCGACGAAGACGAACAGGATGTGCAAATATGCTACAACGAGTCCCCGGAGCTCCAGAACGAAGATCGAAATGTACGTGCCCAGGGAACTCCCTCGATAAATGAAAGCGAAATCGTGGCAGTGGAGGCTGATATGGAAACTCTAGAGGGCATGGAGGCAGAGCATCGCAAGCCCAGCATTGCCGGTAGCTTGGACTCCCAGGGTCAGCAGTTCCTGCGCGACCAGGTTCGCCATCTGGTCCGACGCTTCACAGCCCGGGCCAACAAGGTCAAGTCTCGGATTGAGCTGCCACCCACTCCCTCGTCCAGTAGCACAGCCAGCTCGCCTACTCCGCCACCCACCAAGAGTCTGCATCCTTCGCCGGAGCACAAGGTGCGTCTGGTGCCGGCCGGTCAGTCCCCGCATCGGGGCAGGCTCTTCGTGGCGGACACTCCGCGCTCCAATGTCTGGCTAAGTTTGTGCGGCGCCAACAACGACGAGAGGACCCTGGATCCGCAGGGCAAGATCTACATCTCCTGGCTGTGTGTGGTCTCCCTATCGTTCCTCTACAATGCCTGGGTCATTCCGCTGCGCGCCTCCTTCCCATTCCAGACCGAGGCGAACACCAACATCTGGCTGGCCTGCGATTTCTGTGCCGATATCATTTATCTTTTGGATGTGGTGTTCTTCAAGCACCGGGTCATGTATCTCTTCGAGGGGTTCTGGGTGAAGAACAAGAATCTGACCAGGAAGAACTATATGAGAAAGCTTCAGTTTAAGGTAAGTAGGGATTGGAATAACTACGTGTTTTGGCCTATGAAGCTATCTTCCAAAAAAGGAGCCAATAGCTATTTTATTCATTCATATCTTTTATATTTCCGTAGCTGGATTTATTGGCCCTCCTCCCGCTGGAACTGTTCTATCTTAAACTGGGAACCAACGCTGTGTGGCTTCGTTTTCCACGTTTCTTCAAGATCCAAAGCTTCTGGGAAGTGTTTCGTCTCCTGGATCGGGTTATATCTTCACCCCATTTTGTAGGTTTTTAGCTATAGCTCTTATAACAACAAATCTTACTCCATTATTCCTCAACCTCCAGGTGCGAGTGGCCAAAACCCTGACCTACATGCTGTACATGATCCACATCACAGCCGCCCTCTACTATGCCTACAGCGACTACCAGGGCCTGGGCAAGAACCGGTGGGTCTTTAGTGGCAAGGGGCATCCTTATGTTCGATGCTTCGCCTTCGCAACCAAAACGGCCACCTCCATAGGGAAGAATCCAAAGCCGGAGCGACTAGGAGAGTACGTTTTCATGACCGTGGCATGGTTGATGGGGGTCTTTGTCTTTGCCTTACTGATCGGACAGATCCGGGACATCATCTCCACGGCTACCCGGAATAAGCATGAGTATCGACAGCTGGAGGATGAGACCTTGGAGTACATGCGACGTCTTAATCTCTCTCAGGAAGTGCAGTCGAGGGTTAAAATGTGGTTTCAGTTCACCTGGGAGCAGCAACGAACTTTGGGTAAGCAAATCTTCGAAATATTTATACAACTTATTCATCTTTCCCCCTCTCACAGATGAATCGAACATCCTGGATGCCTTACCCATTAACTTAAAAACCGACATCGCCATATCCGTGCACATTCAAACCCTCTCCAAGGTCCAACTTTTTGCTGATTGCGAGGAGGCCTTGCTCCGTGATCTGGTCCTGAAGTTGAGAGCCGTCACCTTCCTGCCCGGAGACTTTGTTTGCCGGAAAGGAGAGGTAGGGCGAGAGATGTACATCGTGAAACTGGGCCAAGTCCAGGTAATGGGTGGCCCTGGTAGCGACGTGGTTCTTGCCACCCTCACGGAAGGCTCCGTTTTCGGGGAGATCAGCCTGCTGGGCATCAATGGAGCCGACCGTAGGACAGCCGATGTGCGTTCCAAGGGCTACTCCAACCTCTTCGTGCTGTCCAAGTCCGACTTGAACGAGGTCATCGCCTACTATCCCAACGCCCAGGCCATTCTCAAGAAGCGGGCACGTCAGCTAATGAGAAAGAATGCTGCCAGGGAGCGGGAGGAGGAACGCGAGAGAGCACGCAGTGCTCTTCAGGCGGATGTGGTGATTGGTAATCCCAAGACACCGGAGACCCCACCGAAACTGCTACAGACGGTTATTCAGGCGCTTCCCTATGAATCACCCGCCGTGGTGCTCATAACCCGTGGTTCCAAGCGTTTGCGGCGCAAGCGGCAGTCTCTGCAGATGGAGACCATTGTGGAGCCCAAGATGGAGGTCACCGGCGTCGCAGAGTCTACGCAAGAGCAAAGGAATTTGAAGCCTGGACGATGTTCTCCCGATTTGCTCTCCTCCATCCAACAGGAGCTGAAGTCCAAACACAAGTTCATCAACCTCACGGACTCCGAGAAGGCGTTGATCAGCCAGTCGGCCAACAATTCCTTGGAGGACATGCAGGTGGTGGATCTCTAAGATTATATAGCCAATTCAAAAGCATTTTTATCTAAGTGTTGTAACAAAAAGTATTCTGCGATATATAAACTCTGTGTGCATAACAATTTTGATTAACTAATTCTTTAACTGAAACCCAGCCAACACCGCCTGTACAATCGTCGGCACCTCCGCCATAGCCCCGTTTCCTGTGTCTCCGCACATCAGAGTCTTGGAGATGCAGGGAATCTCCTTGTAGCCCCAGCTGATTAGCTTGTCGATCTGCTCCCTGGTGATTGGATGGTCGTACATCCGAGTGTTCATGGCGGGGGCAAAGAGAAGAGGCTTCTGCAGATCCCAAGCGCGCACCACGCACATCACCAGATTGTCGCAAATCCCCTGGAGCCATAAAACGAAAAAGATAAAGAAGTGGTTGGATTTACTTTTAGTATTTCACAATAAACGCGGAACTTACGGTGGCTATTTTGGAGAGGGAGTTGGCACTGAGGGGGGCAATCACCAGTAGGTCGGCCCACTTTCCGAGGTCAATGTGCAGCACTGGATCGCCTCGCTTGTTCCAGGTGATCCACTCGTCCCGGTTGTGGTATATGGGTACTGTTGGGTAGATGGTAGAGATATTACAGGAGACATGTAAAAAAGGACACCCGATTCACACCCACCATGCTCGGGTATCTGCTCCAGTTCAAAAAAGTGCTTGGCCGACTCTGTAATGATGATTTTTACATGGATTTTGAAGGGCAGGCTTTCGTCGGAGAGCTCCTTAATTAATTGGGACATTTTGATGGTGGCCACACTGCCCGTGGCCGCCAGGATCACGTTACGTTCTGGTTTCATGGTTATTTGTGTGAACTATTACTACTGTCTTGTTTCTCTTCCGTTACCGGCTTGCTGTCGCTGTGAAAACCCAACTTTGACCACTCGGTTTTTTCCATAAGATTGTTGTCCATGCGACAGGCGAGGTAGTTCTGGGCGTCCTCGCGGCACTGGCTCGTATCCTGGGCGTTCCTTCGCAAACAACTGGCGTAGAGCAGGAACTGCTTCTTGCAGAGACCTTCGTGATCCAAGGGGAAGGAACCCTTCTCGGGCGGCGTGGGCACGAACTTCTTCTGGTTGTAGATCTGTGAAGTCATTTGGCGGATGGGTCTATGCTCGTCTTATCTTAAATCATTGATAAAATACGGCTTTTAAATTACGAAATAATAGTTGAGTAAACAGAGGAGATCGTTAAAGTGACCGTAGGAAAATACCATAAAAATACTAAAATATTTAAAATTTTTAAAATTTTACTTATTTTGGATTTGAAGCCCTTTTATTTTTGTTTTGGTTTACAAACGGAGTTTCAAATAAATAAAAAGAAAAAAGATATATAAAAATAAAAACAAATATCCCCTTTTCCGGGCTGTCACATGTGACAGTGATGAAAATACCAAAAGGCCAATTCGCCGCATTACCACAGTCACACTTGTAGTTTTCCGTGAACTTTTTTGGAACAGGCTATGTCGTTGGGCAACGCGGGGCGAATTGCTATCTGTTGGTAAAATTATTTTATTCTATTACTATTATACTATTATTCTATTCAACTGATGAATCAAAACTTGTGCTAACAGGACTGTTCTGACCGTTGGAGGAGTCTACGCCTTTGTGCTGTCAAAGAAATCCGTAGAAACCCGTCGTTACGAGAGCATGCAAGTACGAGAACGCATGCGAAAGGCCAACAAGGGAGAATACGACGCAACCGCCACAGACAGGCGATTCGACTACTAGATTCTACTACCAGATACATCCCACTAACCGAATCCCAAAACACCAGCCATGGCTCTACCCCAGATAAGTTCCGCCGACCAGGCCAAGTTGCAGCTCATGCAGGAGATGGAGATCGAAATGATGTCCGATTTATATAACCGCATGACGAACGCCTGCCACAAGAAGTGTATTCCGCCGCGTTACTCCGAATCGGAGTTGGGTGAGTGGGGGGGAACATGTCCAAGATGATGTACTAAAGAGCTTACATTAGGAGAACTTTGTACTAGAACCCTCTTAGCCTATATGCCCATGTCCCAGGCACATCATAACTTGGCCAATTTTTGTCCAATTGGGATAAGACATACCTTCCCGTAATCTGCTCTTCGAGCTCTTGAATCTTGGCTTAAAATATCACTATCCATAATTTGACCCAATTTTCGAAATTTTTACAAGGGGTTACATCATAAAAATCATCAATAATTGACTAAAATTTAATATCTCAAATGTTGACCCAAATCGATAGAGATTTCATCCACGATCATAGGAAGGTAACTCTTTTAAAGATCGAATAAGAATTGACCAAGTTATGAGCCTGCGAAGGAGCTATATTTTGCATTGTTGGGGTTTTATCTTACACCTTGTGTTTAACACCTAATATAATTCTCATATATATTTCAGGCAAGGGCGAGATGGTCTGCATCGATCGCTGCGTGGCCAAGTACCTGGACATCCATGAGAAGATCGGCAAGAAGCTGACAGCAATGTCTATGCAGGATGAGGAGCTGATGAAGAAGATGTCGAGTTAACCAGGCTCCGAACTCTTTAATTAATATGCATTTTCGGGGGCTACGTTTGTTATTAGATGAGGTACATGTACAAAACAACCAGTTGTAGAGAATAAACCACAGATTTATGCGTTCTACATAAGTTCGAACCAAACATCAGTCTAATCTTCAGAACGTAGTAACATAGCGCGACATCTCCGGCAACAACACACTCAAGTCCTCTATGTTGGTTTCCAGGGAACTCTCGTCGGTGGTGTTTAGTTCACTTGTACGGACACTATTCGCCCAGTCGGAAGAGTCGTTTTCCTGAGGAACACCTCGGACCTGTTCGTCTTGCTGCTCCTGGGTATTCATGCTGGCTCGGCTAGACAGCCCATCACAGATTTCGGCCAGATCCTGGGGCAAGTCTACGTATATATTGGTCTGGCGCTACAAAGGAACACAGAAGTAAAATTGAAATGAGAATGAAGGAATCTCTTCAGCTTACCAGTGCTATGCGCTGCAGGTCGGGATGGCAGCTTACAGGGTTCTTGGAAAGATTCAGGACATGTAGTGTTCGCAGCTCCTCCAGTTGTGCCCGTGTGGGCTGTTCATCTATGTGATTTTCGTTGAGAAAGACAAATCGAAGCTTTTGCATGGCCATCAGCATCCTGGGCAGTCGCCGGAGCTGGTTACCCTTGAGATTCAGGTGCACCAAGTTTTTCAAAAGGGCAAAGGTCAGTGGAACTTCTTCTAACTGGCAGCCCTCGGCCGTAAACCATCGCAACGAGTTCAGAGCTCCAATAGATTCGGGAAGTTTCTTGAGACGGTTTCCGCGCACTCCCAGTGTTTCGAGGCGCTCACAGTTACGTATCTCGGAGGGCAGTTCCAGCAGTCCAGTGTTGTTGCACCAGAATGTTTCCAGTTGGGTGAGATACCCCAGCTCTGGCGGCAGGCGAGTGATGTTGTTGCAACTGACGTTGAGGAATTTAAGGCGAACCAGCCGACAAATACAGGATGGGAACTCGTCGAGTTTGTTGTAGTCCAAGGTGAGGACTTGGAGGCGCAATAGATTGCCGATGGAGGATGGAATCTTTGTCAGCTTGTTCTGGTTCAGAAAGAGCTTCATCAGAGTTTCGCATTTTTCGATTATCTCGGGAACTTCAGACATTTGGTAGTGCGAGAGGTTCAGGCTAAAGGACTTCTTGTAAATGGCATCCTCACAGTTGGCCAGCACATAGTTGTTGCGAAAGAACTGGCACACCTTCTCCATAATTTTTGTTATTTTTTATGGATTTTCTAGAAGGCACTAATTTAGCAGGTATTCCAAAACAAGTAACATTATTGGAAAAACTTACTATGTCTAAGGAGAAATATCTGTGTTTTGGGTTTTGTTTATTTGCTTGTTTTGAGAACATTTTATATAACGCCTCTCAGCCTCTATATGTGCACAAATTTCTCAAGTTATATGTCTATTATTCTCTCAGTTTATGGGAATTGCACTCTTTTTGTGGGTCTTCTCTTCCCGAGCTATTGAACTAAATTTAAAAATTACATTAGCTGGTTAAAATCATGAGAAAAACCTATATACAAATATACAGTACATATCTTTTTGCCATAGGGTGCTTCTTCTATTTTAGAATACTTTTTTTTCGAAAATATTTTGAATACATAGTAAGAGCTTTGTTCTGTGATCTCACTTGATCTCTGCTAATTAACAAAAGCACGTCTTAGCTTTCGAGCCAGCCATATAAATAGATTTCAAATAACAATTTACGTTCTGTGTGAATCGAGCTCCGTAACCAGAAACTGCATCATGAGGCTGTTTGTATTATTGCTCATATTTTGTGTTGTTTTGTTTGCCGGTAAGTTGAGACCTGAGAAACTTTAGAGAGAAGCGGGAGAAGCATTGAAAGGGGTTTCTTCCAGTCACAGATGCGCAGCAGAATTATGACGGACAGAATGGCCCCCATCAGTTCGGTTCCCCCGGAAACGGTGTCTACATACGGGGTCAGAACGAAGGACCCTACACGGTGCCAGGAGTGGGCGGGACCTTCCAGAACTCCCCAGGAAACGGTCATCATAGCTACACCGATGAGCAGGGGAATACCTACACCCACACTTCAAAAGAATATACTAGGAGTTCGGCTTCGGCTCTGAGCTTTAGAGTGGGACTTGTTTTTCTTGCTTATATGACCTATTTATCATTTTAACGAGCTATTTAATATGTAAATTTTTTAAATTATATAATTAAACGCCGTCCTATTATCATCCACCCTCATTGCTAATGATTTTCAATTTGCATACATTAACGGGTAAGAAAATAAACAAGATTGCGGGGCAAAACTTTACTTTAAAAATTCGCGCCATATCTTAGACAGGGTTGAACACACGGCTAAATCGATAACCCTCCGTTTGTTATCGGCATTGCCATCCGATACAAAAATATTTCTCCTTTCCAACACTGTATTCAACTCAACACTCGTAGGAACTCTTCATATTTATAATAATAATACACAACAATAATCAGCCAAAAACCGACGCCGGGCATGTAAATATAGCCTGAAGGCGTTTATCCAGAGCAGTCCATTAAAACTAAAACAGACGGCCGCCAAGAATCACAGAACTACCTCAAGATGGACCAGATGCTCAGCCCCAACTTCTCGATTCCGAGCATCGGAACGCCGCTGCACCAGATGGAGGCGGACCAGCAGATCGTGCCTAACCCCGTGTACCATCCACCGTCTGTGCCGCAGCCAGATCCTGTGATGCCCGCCCCAGTGGGCGCCGGCTCGTCAGTACAGCAGCAGCAAGATGCCAGCGGCGGTACTAGCAGCGGAAGTGGGCTGTTTGGTCACGAACCCTCCCTGCCACTGGCTCATAAGCAGATTCAGAGCTACCAGCCCTCTTCGTTCCAGAGCCAGAACCAGTCCGGTGGCGGGGGCAGCACTCCACAATCCCTGATGCAGCCACAGACTCCGCAGAGCATGATGTCCCACATGCTGCCCATGAGCGAGCGCAGCGTTGGCGGAGCTGGTGGTGGCGGGTCTGGTGGCGATGGTCTTGGAAACATCCATCAAACCATGGGCCCCTCCACGCCAATGACGCCGGCGACACCCGGGTCCGCAGATCCCGGCATAGTGCCGCAGCTTCAAAATATCGTGTCTACAGTTAATCTGTGCTGCAAGTTGGACCTCAAAAAGATAGCACTGCATGCTAGGAACGCCGAGTACAACCCGAAGCGTTTTGCAGCCGTGATTATGCGAATCCGCGAGCCCCGCACAACTGCGTTGATTTTCAGTTCCGGAAAAATGGTCTGCACGGGAGCTAAAAGTGAGGACGACTCCAGACTGGCGGCGAGGAAATATGCTCGTATCATCCAAAAACTAGGATTTCCGGTAAAAATAAAAGCTGTACTTCATTTTCCGCTTGGCTAATATTTGTTCGTTGCAGGCAAAATTTTTAGATTTCAAGATTCAAAATATGGTTGGTTCCTGTGACGTCAAGTTCCCGATCCGTTTGGAAGGCCTGGTGCTGACCCATTGCAACTTCAGCAGCTACGAGCCAGAGCTCTTCCCTGGTCTTATTTACCGTATGGTGCGTCCGCGTATCGTTCTGCTCATCTTCGTCTCTGGAAAAGTGGTGCTCACGGGAGCCAAAGTGCGTCAGGAGATCTATGACGCCTTCGACAAGATATTCCCCATATTGAAAAAGTTCAAGAAGCAGTCATAAATAGTGTAAGTGCATTATTAGTTCTGTACAAGTCTGTGTTAAGGTCTGTTAGTTTTGTAAGTGCGGATTGGGAGCCGCCTGGCGAGTAGCTCCGAATTATAATAAAAACGAAAAGATTAGCTGTAAAGACCGGGCTTTATTTTGTGTTTCCGTTAATTACTATTCGTAGAAATTTAGACAGGACTAAGGTTAAACTCTTTACAGACACTGGGCCATCAGGGCGCCCACGTTTTCGAACTCGATCTTCTCCGTAATGTTCTTGGTCTTGATCTTGTCGTCCTGTGTGGCCACAACGACCAAACCCTGTCCCTGGTGCTTCCAGCCGTTACGCTTGATCCAGCTTTCCAGCGTCGAGTCCTCGATGCCGCCGAGCAGCTCCTTTAGCAGGTCCTTGCGGATCGTTTGGAAGGTGGTGCCGACCACATGCGACACGAATTTGCGGATTGAGTCATGGAAGCCGGTGATGTGGCGGAACATGTTGCGGTTGACCTCCGCGCGCTGCCAGAACAAAGTGAAATCGGCCCGCTCCAAAATATCGGCCAAGTCAATGATGGTCTGCACGTTTTCGTCCTTCATCTGCTGGGGCAGCAGCAGGCACTTGGCCATCACGAAATCCGTGTGCGGCAGGTTGGTCAGACACTTCAGCAGGATGGTGTAGGTGATGTCGAAGTTGAGCATGTGCGGGTTGAACTGGTAGAGCTTCAGCACGGCCAGGTTGGCTTCCAGATCGTAGGTGTTGTTCTTGGCCTGGTCCTGGACATATGCCTCCAGCGTCTTGAGATGATCCGGGTTGTACCTGACGGAGGGGAGGGGACAAACAATAGCGAGGTTATGTTTTGGTTCGGTTTTGCATCTTTCAGATATGATAAACACTCACCGTTCGATGCAGCCCAGCATCTCCTGGATGGTCTGGCTCTGGCCGTTCTCCATTTTTACGAGGTGCGACATTTTGTACAGCTAAATATTAATTTCCAAGTTGACGTCGTGTTTTTTTGAGGAATGCCGTGCAGTGGGGCCGTTTCACAAAGAGATGGATAATAGTGTGGCCAAACCACAGTGAGGGTAAAACGACAAAAATGCAGCTTACTATTAATTTAAAAAAGTTTTAAAATGTAGTTTTAAATATTTTGTTGGATCATTGTTATCTTAATGAAATATATTTTTTGCTTTCTAATTTCCATTCCTAATTTTTCTCCTAGCTTTCCAAAAAGACCCCCTTCAAAATTTAAAATCAAATACTACATTTCAAAAGAAAACAATAGACCGTTAGTTTAGTGGAAGTTTAATGATTTCAATTCATTATACAATCATGTATTCTTTTTCAAGGGAAGTTTCCGTTTCGTTTTAGCTTAACTTGGAAGTTCTTCATGCGGAAGTGCTCGTATGAAAGTGGAATTCTACAGGTTTTTGTACAAAATTATGTACACAATTTCTGGGTATAAAAGCATCTTATTCGTATCCGGTATCGGAGGACTATGTCTTGGCCACGGCGGCGGCAGGTGCCGCCTCGGCATCGCCATTTCTTGCCGCAGTGGCCGCCAGTTGCGCCTGCCGCTGCTCCTCCTCCAGCTCCAAGCGTTCCACCTTTTTGATTTTGCTCAGTTTCTCTGCAATGAAAGTGCAAAGCTCCCATATAGTTTTCTTCAATCAAACATTGAGTGGTTTATACTCACTTGCACATCTCAGCATTATAGTGCCCCACCAAATGGACCAGCCCCAGCCCACAAAGCAAAAGAGCACGCAGAAAAACTGCGACACCGCCACAATGATGTTAATTATGAATGATCCAATCCTGGCCCGAGCACTGTCGAATTGGGAGAATCGTGGTATGCCCACGCACAGACAAAAGAGACCCGAAAGGAGGGTTCCTAAAGAATAACACTCAGATGAATCAAATTATGTTAGTTTGCGTCTAAGAAACTTACCCAAACCGGGGAAAACTACATTGCAAAAAGCACAGAACCAGGCCAAGTACAAGGGCAACACTGGTATTGCACCCTTCATTTTGGAGGTGTACTCCACCAGGTCCACGTGAAGCTTTTTTCGAGTGTCCTTCGATGGAAAGGGGATTTTAATGTTTTATTTATAGTATTTACTTTACAGTTGTCTTACCTCACTGGGGGGTGGCGCCTTGATGCTCTGCCTCCGAGCATTCGATTCTCGACGTTTCTTTTTGCGGCAACATAGCAACATCAACCAGAATCGCTTGCAACATCCCCTTGATACATAAAATATACATTATATATAATTAAAATTATATTAAAAATACTTATTAAAATAAACCTACTCTCTAACTTGGTTATCCACCGCATTGGATGCTGTGGATACTGCCGCCTCCGAAGCACCTTCCAACACTGAGGACTCGGTGGGCTTGATGCCCAACTCGGGATCTTGATCGCGCCAGGAAACGGAACTGCCCTTTTTGGGGCTGCGGCTTCCACGACCTCGACAGGGAATGCAGAAACAGCATTTCTTCACCTCCGTCTCGTCGCCAGTGGTAGGGTCCACCTTGTTGACGGAGCGACAGCAGAAGACCTTGCTCAGGCAGAGGCCACACTTGCCTCTCGCCTTTGGTCCCGTACTCATATTGGTCTTTTGCTGCTCCGGCCGCACTGGTTGCTCCTCTTCAACGTTCCCGGGTTTCTTGCGGCAGCTCCGGCAGCAGCTGGACTTCAGCCAGTCGGTGCACTTTCTTCGCTTCTTTGGCTTGGTCTCGTCAATCACTTGGACATTGGTGGCTGTGGTGGCGCTGCTCTGGCCGCTCCACAGGACGGGTTGGTTCTCGGCGGACAGGTTGCCGTCAGAGTCGCGGTCTCGGGGCAGGCAACAGCAGCGGGAGCAGCGCGAGCGGCGGCAGGGCATAAAAAGCTTCGTACAGCAGCCGCCGCACTGGCCGCGCTTCTTGGCATTATTGTCCTTTTCCTCGAGGAACTCCTGGCTGCTGCTTCTGAAGTAAAAAAGAAGGGGAAAAAATAAGAATATTATAGTAAGTATGATTTTTATTTAATTTTTTTAACAACCATTCTAGGATTTCAAATCTCTAACCCTGAAACTGAAACATTTCAGTGTCTAAGCATTCTTTCTTAAAGATCCTTCAAGACCGCTTATGACACGTTGTAAAGTAATGTCTGGCCGTGGTGTCCCCACCCCACATAAGCCATTATCCTTGACTGTCCGCAGACCGGATATAAGCTTTTATGGCTTCAGGGGATTGGCCAGGTGCCAGGTGCTAGGGTGGTAGGATGGTAGGATGGCAGGCGTCGAAAGCGTTTTATGATTGGAAAGTTCAAGTTGCTGGGATAGTCTTGAAAATCACTTCCGCACTTTGCTGGTGTGAAGTTTGGTATAATCACTTTCGGATGGCAATTACCATTAGCGTGGGATCTCTGATTTATGGATTATGCACTGGCTGGCGTGTTGAGTTACATCTTTGGCATTTAAACTTTCATCTCGTTACAGTAGAGGTGTGGGTTTTTGCGGGTCGATTTTGAATAATCAGAAAAATATACCGTCCGTAAGCAACGACCGAAATGTGTCACGAAAAAACTCCTTTTCGGGCGCTTACACAATTATTTTTTTAATATGGCCAGAGTGAAAGTGTTCACGTGTATATAATATATGAGTGTATAAAGGAGAAATTTAATTCCGGCGTTGTGCACGAGCCAACGACCAAACGCAATTTGGAGGTCGGCCATTTATTTGAACCGCTCCGGAGTTCGGAATTCGAATACAGAACCCCGGAATGAATGGCGTAAAGTTCGCCGCAAATGCCTCTCGAAGGTCAGTGCGTTTATTTACCCCAGTTGGCAGATGCTTTCACCTGATAAGTTATAATTGGATCTCGTGGCTAATTACCTAAAAAAGTACTTGTCGCCATCGATGAACGGGTCCTGGGCGAGATCCACCGTGTAAATCACCGAGTTCTTTGGCGTTCCGTTAAGCATGTTGTCGATTTCGTAAATTATCTGAATAGTTTTTGGGGTTATTCGTCTCGGCTGGGACTAATTGCTGGGAAATCACTTCTAAGGGTTTCCCAACTATTCGCAGGACTGAGTGCTGCGGTTGGCGCGATTGTCCGGCCCGAACTGATTTGTTATTGCGGCAAGAAAACTTAAGCCGTGTTGCGAAAATACTTTTCCCCGTGTTTTCCGCGCACGCTATGCCCTCTACAGTGGTCACTCCATCAAGTGGACGAACCACTCTCAGCAGTCTTCTATCCGTCTAGGCCAGCCTGAGCTCCTCTCTGTGGGGTGGCTCCTGTAATTGGTCGGTCACACCGTTCTTGGTTGGGAAAACAATGCAGTGAAGGACATCGTTACCTTCGCCGACTGCGACGGCTACTGGAACTTCGCGACCTGACGACGACGACAGGGCAGCGAACGGATTTCCTCAAAGGCTCACAGGATAAGGGAGCGCCGAGGCACAAGACGAGCGGTGGAGCTGGGGCAGGAGCATGGGGCAGGTCTTGGCCATCCCACCTCGTGTTATTTCCACAATTTATTGACGCACTTATGAGTGGCTTGACGGACCTGTGCCAGCGTCTAGAGAGCTCGGAGCTCGAAGCTCCCAGCACGGAACTCCTTCCCACACGACACTGTAAAGTTTTATGTATCATAGTTGTTGTTGGTGGCTGCTTGCCGCGGCCACCCTCCCCCTCCCGGGAGTTTCCTGTATGTAAATTGGCTGGCCAGGCCAGCCAGGCTATAAGCCTTGGCTAGTGTTGTGTGCCAAGAGCCCTTAGGGTCGAGGCAAAAAATTAGTACTACTTCCAGCCAGATGATGGTCAGAATATTATAATTTTTCGGGGTTGCTAGATTCGAAATGAAGGCCTGACCGATGAATATTCATAATGGTCATTGCAACCATCAGGACCTTTCGAAATGGTTGTACTTGGGTGACAAAAACAGAACATGGACGATTCTGAGGAGGGTTTTAAAAGACCTTACAAGGATGGTGTTTGGAAAAGCTTCATAGTATATGGTGTTTGTAGGGCCCTACTTCTTCTGAAGAAACTATTTTATATTTTCTTCAAATTATCTCAACATTACCATTTGAAAATGATCTCAACTTGGGGAATATTGGACTGATCTTAAAATGTGATACCTTCCTGATCTCAGCGCTTTGAATACTTTAATTTCGAGTAAAAAAATGTAATCCTTAAAATTTTAAAATTTTTTTGTAAATTTTACAAGGGGTACATCACAAAAATCATAAAAATTCTTCAAAAATTTGATGGATTACTTTATTAGACTGATTTATTGTCTTTTGAACCACGATCATTATGGTGTATCATTTTTTAAGATCAGAAGAGAGTTGCCAAAGTTATGGCATTGGAAGGTGACATATTTTAGAATCTTTTATTTTTAAAGAATCTTTAGATTTTATCCCAACTTCAAACAATCATAGCTTGGGGAAAATTTGTAGGATCCCAAGGGGTCATTTAGTCCTGATCTCAGCGCTTTAAATACTTGAATTTTTAACAGGTTTATCATAAAAATCAAAAATAGTCAAAAATGTAGTCTACTATTCATTGACTCGGATTCATAAGGCTTGTAGCCACGATCGTTTTAATATGCGACTCTTAGAGATCAAAAAAGAATTGCCAAAGTTATAGAAATGGAAAGGTGCCATATTTTAAATACTTTCTATACCTTAAAATCTTATATTTTTGGATCTATACTTACTTTCCCGGACCGCCACTGCCAGCCGTGGATCCGCCCTGTCCGTCCGGCGATCGTCGCTTGGCATCCACCTTGAAATCAGCTCCACTCTCCGGCGTAGGCATTACATGGCCACCCAGTTCCGCCTCCGAGGCATCCAAGGCGGTGGGGATGTCCGAGCTCTCGCACTCAGCCTCCGGAACACTAGATATCCGGTCGGCGGAACTCTCGTTGGGAGGATGCAGCACCGAAACTGCTGCCTCGATGGGTTGTGTGGGCGGGAACGGTGACTTGGCCTGCTCCCCGGAACTCTGGGGAGCTATGCTGCCATCAGCAGTGCCAGTGCGAGAGGCGGACTCACCCGTCCTGGCCACCATAGTGGTAGAGCTGGGGGTAGGCGAGGCTCCTTCGGCCAAGTCATTTTCCAGACTCTTTAGATCCGTAAGATTCTCGGTAATGGTCTTGTGGATCTCATCAGTGGCCTCGGTGACGGTCTTTTGAATGGTCTCCAGGGTTTTTTGCGATTTTTCCAGAATGGCGGCAGCATCATTGGACATGGGCTGTGAGCCGTGAGCACCTGCTGCGGGTAAAAAAGATTTTCTGGGGTTAATCCTTGCCTAAAAATTCAAAAACACTGAACCCACCTTCACTTTCTCTGGCATGTTCCGGTACAGTGGCCACTTTTCGGCTTTGCGGGGAATCCGCACGATTTTTGTTGCTCAGCAGACTCAGGCGAGAGCTCATCCGGACCAGTTTGGACATGTTACCACCACCAGATCCTTTTCCGCCAGGTGTCGAGGGCACAGGGACTTCACTGGTAACAGCTGGCACCGCTTCCACGGCCTGGAGCACGGCATTGCCCACCTGGGCAGCCAGAGGAGGAATATCCGTTGCTGAGGCTGATCCGTTTGCTCCTTTTTCGAGAACCATACCGTGTGCTTTGGTTCCTCCGGGCTTTTTGGTTTCAGTCGCAGCTCCTCCGGGGGCTTTGCTTTTATTCAGTGGCGTTTTAGTTTTTGTGGTGGCCAGCGGTTCCTTTCCATTCTTCTTGGCAGCTCCTGGCTTAGTCTTTTCCTTGTCCTTCTCCTTGCCTTTCTCCGCTTTGGATTCCTTCGGGGGCGAGACTTTTTTGGCTTCCGATGCTGGCTTAGCTCCTGTTGGCGTTTTCCTTAAGGGCTTTGCAGGCGTCTTTTGCGTGGTTTCCGTCTTCGGCTTGGCTTTGGCACTTGCAGGGATCTTTACCTTCGACTTGGGGCTTCCTTGGCTCTTGGCCGTCACCACCTTTCCAGCTCTGCTACTCCTGGGCGTGGTGCCCGGCGTTTTCGCCTTTTCCGGCGATTTGGATCTCTTTTTGGTGGTGGAGGACTGGGGTGGGGATTTGCCCTCTCTGGTGGGTATGCGGGAGCGGGAATTCCGGCGGGAAAGCATGTCTGGTTTCTCGGGTTTTCCCCGACTGGTAACCACTCCTCTCCGTGCCTGGCTCAGTGCCCCGGGGCTAATGGATTTCCGACGACTCATCATGGAGCTGGCTGGACTCGGGGAGATGGACTTTCGACGGTTGGGCATACTCCTGTTCCTGGCCATTGTTGCTGGAGAGACGCTAGAGGATCTCAGTGAAGAGGAGTTGATGCTCAGGCGGGAATTGGCTCTGGAGTTGCCCCTGGAGATGGACATATCTTGCCGAGAGCTGACATGATCGAGACGCGAAGTTGGCCTCGAAGGTGGGCCTCTTGAAACGGAGCGGGAGTCGCCAAGCCGTCCACTTTCCCTCGAGGGAGTCCTGCTAGGGTTCATCATTGCCCTTGTGGGCGACCGGCTGATACTAGCCCTGGAACTTCTCCCGGAGGCAGTGATCCCGAAAGAATCCTTTACTGGTGAACTGGATCGGGACTCGGGACTTTTGCGAATGGGTATGCGGGAAATGGAATCGCGTCGCCCTGTGGACACCTCCGAGGGAGTGTCTCCACTCATAGCACCTCCTCCCCGCAGAGAGGATCTGTGCGTGGGACTCTGGGCTGAGCTACTATCCTTATTAGGTGTTCCAATAATGGGAGAAAGTGTACTAGGCTTGGCAATCTTCCCATGCCGGCTCTGAGGCTTTGAATCTCTCTGGAAGATGGACTGACGGCGGGGACTGAAACTGGGTATTCTGTTGGGTATCCTATTGGGACTCGGAGCCTGGATTGATTTGCGACGCATCCGAGATCCTGGCAGTGTGGCGGCCAGCGAAGAGGGTCGGCGAAAACTAAAGTCCGAGGTGGTAACAGTGCTGAGATTGGAACTCCTCCGATCCGAGGCCGTCTGGGTGGAGCTCCGCCTTTCCGGGGACGTGGAGCTGGAGCGACGCCTCGCCTGGAAGTGGGCAGTGGGTCGGCTCAGATCGTCCAAGCTGGTCCAGTTGGAACGCGGCGGGTGGGTGGACAGGGGCTCCTCCTTGTTGATGATTTTCAGGAGGCCACGCTGGCTTCTTGTGGGATTCAGATTTGGCTTCAGTGGACGCGGCAGTGCTCCCGGAGGAAAAACCGCTTGCTCCTTGCCCACATCTAGTTCCACATTGGAGCCATAATGCAGACGAGGTATGGAGCTGCTGCGATAGGGATCCGTAATCATTGGGAGAGACTCCATGCTCTTGATCTTTTGGCCATAAGGTAGTCCCTGGCCCCGTGCGGGACTCCTGCCCACTGAGCCCCGTCTCCTCAGATCTCTGGGCGTGAAGGTGTCGATGGATGAGGTCAGCGAGTCCCTCTGCTGGAGGATGCCCTTCTGCGGAGTGGCCAGCTTGCTGTAACGGCCGCTCATGTTGAATTGGACCGAAGGTCGGGGGGAGTCGTCCGTGGTCAGGTGGCTTGGAAGCTCCGGCAGTCGTGGATCGGACCCAAAAATCGATCTCCGCCTTGGACTGATCCTCGCCAGCAGCGATGAGGTAGTCGTCGATGTCGACTGGATAGAAGCGTGTCGCTTGCTAGGCGTGGTGGACTGGCTAGTCCTTCGCGGATGTGGTGGAGCAGCCGGAGCCATCGCCTGTCCCGGGGACAGTATGGTGAAAGCAGTCTTCTTGTGGGGCCGTGGCTGGTCCACTCTAAAGGATTCGGGTTAACATGGTTTAGCTTCAACTAATGGGTGTTGTCTTACCTATAATCCCCACCCATGGGTATGGAATCCCTGATGATAACCGGTGACATTTCCCGCTTTAAACTGGAGGCCCGTCCAATGCTTTGGTCATCCTCTGGCTCCTCCGTTAGTGATGTCCTTCCAAAAGGAGGAGGTGCAGCTGGCGGCGGGGGCATGTCATAGTCCTGGAGCCCTCTTTGCCGGGCGCCTAAATCGAGAATAAGCTGCTCTTCCAGATACTGCTTCGGTGAAAGTACTAGGTCCCTGGCGATCTCTAATCTCCCATTGTCCTGGGCTTCTGATCCGCGCTCCTCGCCGCCGCTACTGGAGCTGTTCATGTCCTGGATCATTGTGGCCAGAGGCGAGAGCGGCCCCTCATCCTGTTTCATGGACATAATATTCTTAGAGCTTGGTCGCAGCCGGGGAATGCGTGTGAATTCCGGGAAGTGCTGCGGCGCCGGTCGGAACCAATCTCGGCCGGAGTACGTGTCGCTGAGCAGGCTGCAATGATTGGATTCTGTTTTTAACCAGTAAGAGGCAAAAAGTAAGAGGACTCACCCCCTATGATCCTCCGTGTTGATGCTGGAAACACTCAACTTGGCGGCCATCTGACTCGGAGTCCTGGCTGGCTCCACGTCCACATCCTCGTCGTCTTCGTTTCCAAAGGACAGACGAGGACCAACTGAGGTGTACTCCTCACTAGCATTCTCCAATTCGTACATGTCCGGCTTGTTGAGAATGTCGTCCGGAGCCAGGAGGCAATAGTTGGGCGAGCCCAGGTGCTCGGAACTGGAGCCACCACTGGAGTTGGGCAGTATCTGAATGTCAGGGGGCTGAAGGTGGGGTAGCAGCGATCTCCGTGGACTTCTGGAGTATGGAACACTGGGAAAGATTCGCTCCCTGGTAGCGGGTAGCAGGGCGTTTAGTGCCACGGCGGCCACCAGGGCATCCTCCTCGGAACTTGGCAGGTCCACAGATCCGCTCCTGAGGGCCTCAAAGGCGGCTGTTCCGAAGTATTCATCCGCCTGGAGGGGTGGGGGCACCGGATCCCCAAACAGGCTGCTGTAGGGCTGGCCATCCGACACGGAGGGTTGCCGGACAAAGCTCTGGTTGGAGGCGAATGTCGAGGGAGCCATCGAGTGGGCGGAGAGTATGGAACGGGTGTGGGCGAGGCTGTGGGTGCTGTAGCTGTAGTCAACCGGAATAACGGCCGGCTGGAAGCTGTTGTTGATGCCCGCAGTGGACCTGGGACGAGGTTTCGGTTTCGGCGTCGTCGGTTTCTGGCTCGGATCGGGATTCGGCGGAGCAGATGCCGCTCCTGGCGTGGGCATCGGGGATGGGGATGGCGATGAAGATGAGTACGAGAGGGTCTGCTGCATGGTTTGTCATTTCCGGCCCTCATGCGTTTACTACGATTTACTATCCATTTTTATTTTAGTTTTATTCTTTTTCGACGAAAATCAATCCGAGGGCGGCACGCAGGATATGCCCGTTCTACGTGTTTGTCCTTCGGCTAGTTTAAGTGCCACAAAACCAATGACGCCAGGAGCTGTTTATTCGAAGCAACAGAATGTATTTAAAAATCACTCACTAACACACATCTTTTGAGTTCTACAGACAGAGCAGCGAGACCTTCCGGCCCTTGCAATGTCAGAGACGGACGTACACGCGACGCCTTCGCCGCCGGAGTACGGAATACGTACGACTGACTAGGTATTACTTTGGGAGTAGGGACGGAGGTTGAACGGAAATCCAAAGACCGAAAACAGGAGTTAACTAGGCCGCTGGTTTCAATTCGCAGTGATGGGAAAATCCTTTCCGCCTCTTACTTTCAATTTTTAATTGATCTGACTGTTGAAAACCAGCTCTATGAGAAGACTACAAATTATATATAAATTTTCGCAATAAAATCACTATTATCCGGCCATCGGCCATCACTATATTTTCGTTTATGGCGAAAATAAAGAAAGAGTAATTATTACTGCACGGCTATATTTTCTAATGCCATTCCACGCCTATAAATAGCTGCGTGTACGGCGCTGATAAAGTCATGGAATGGAATGGAATGCCCCTGCACATAAATCCGTATTCCGAATTGCAGCTCCCAAAACGCTGTCTTGGCGCTAACGAGAGCAGAAACACTTGGCAGGCGGAGCCGGTGGGGATCGGGTTTGGATTGGTTTGGTTGACTTGGCTGCTCTGGGGATTGCGATTGCATGTTGCAAATTGCCGCATTAGTGATTGCACTTGAAGTCGAACGACCCGAGAAGATGATGAGCTTCAAGTTTCAAGTGTGGAAGCCAGCCAGGTGAGACTATCACCTGGTTCCCCTCGCTCTCTTGAAGCTCGGCTTAGTACGCAGATATTTCTGCGGAATGACGTAGCTCTAGCTGGGAGCTGGGTAGATGGGTAGTTGGGTAGCTGGGTAGCTGGGGTCTGGGAAGTGTGAATAAGTTGAATGGGGCACCCCGAGTTCCCTTTTGTTCGCATTGATTTTCCTCTGCCTAATATTTAACCTACATTTTATAGGACCCGCCGCCACTCGAATTTCGGTGACACACATTTTGGGCCACAGGAAGTGACTTGGCCGGCGTGTTGTGGCCATGACGCGTGCGGCGTTGGCCGGCTCCCTAAGGTAATTTGCGAATTGCTTTCATTCTTTTTTTGATTTTATGTTTTTTACAAACACTTTGCCGCATTACACGCAGTTTTCCTGCATCTCATTAAAGCTTGGTCACACTTTAATAACGTTTTTTCGAGGCCAAAACTTGAATGACTTTAAAAAGTTACCGTTGTCAAAAATAAATCTAATTTTCGCAAATCCGCAAGCCCCACCATTCATACACTTTTAAGCCGAAGGCTGTTATTATATAATTCACTTTCCTTTTAAATAGAATTTTAAAGTTTTGTACTTTAGTTCCGCAAAAATAAATGCATTTGCCGAAAAGCCGCAAAACAAAAAAATTGGTAGCGCGGAGCGGGCAATGGGAACGTGGCCGGTGCCTAACTGGAACTGATGGCCGCCACCGAGCGGCAAGTGAGCAAAAGGAGGCCTTCAAAAGAAATATTGCCTACACTTCAAATCCGAAACACCAGCGCCAAACACCCCAAGCACACAAACACCGACACACCGACTTGCCACACGCAGACCCGCTAAGAAAAAAAAAAAAACTAAAAACCGAAAAAGAAAACTCAGGTGGGCTTGAATTCGCCGTGATTGGGGCGCTTTTCGCCGCGAAAATTCTACAAGGCGGCTGCATTAGTTTTGTTTGCATGTTTTGTTTCATCTCTGCTTCTTGTTCTGGTGTTGCCTCCTCTTAGACAACTTTTGATTGTTTCCCCTGGCAGGCTGTGACACCTGTTGGTATGTCTGTGGCACGCGATGTTCGCTGTTCCAGCACTCGCACCACTCACATCCAAACACACTCATTATTCATATTTTTCGGGGCTTTCCCCCGATACCAGGATGCCCCCCGATAGTTCGATCAGACAACACGCACCAAAGACTCCCTTCTCCGGAATGGACTCGAGTCTTCAGGTGAGAGATAGTACAGGCAAGACTCAGTCAGGCGAACAATTGCCTTTCAAATTACAAGTCTGGGATTAGAATGTTAATCATTAATTAACCAATTTCCCGAGTCTGGACTTCGCTTGGCTGAACAATCATGTAGTTATAGTTTATGGCCAAGTATTAGGAGTGATATGAGCCAATTATGGCTATTAGTCCACTTTAGTTTTTAAATGATATAGAAACTGCTGATGTCTTTTGAAAATAAAGTCCTTTTATTAAGAGGATTCACTCACTTTAGAGTTTTGAAAACTAAATTGAAAAACAAATTCTATCCTGATACTGTTATCAACTTGTAGAAAGCTTCACTGCTCTTGTCTTGGTACAACCTCAAGCCGAGTACACTGCACTTTTCCTTGGCTTTGGAATAGGGTCAAAACCACAACAAATTCCGCGTTGCCTTGTGCAGCGGCAAGGAGTCAACAACACTTGGGCTGAGACAGAGCCCCAGTCCACGGACTCCTGCCCTGCCACCTGGGGCACTGTTGCAACATCAGGCTATAGTAGACACAGGCACTAACTCTCGGCAAACACACACGGTCGTACATTTGCTGGGGAGGTGGGGGACTTTTAAGTGGCAGTGCCGGAGAAATCCTTGGCTAATGTCGTGATAGCCCAACCGCCCAACTTGGTCAACTCAGTCCAACAAAAAAGTGGAGTCACGGAGTCCAAAGTCAGGGGAATTCCTAGAGACATCAAGTAGTTAATTGTTTCAGGACGACTTCAATCATTTCAACTATTATCCGGTTTCGTTTCAGTTCACAATTTTTTAAAGCTTTAGACTTTTATTTTACACTTTATGTTGTTTTATTTATTATTGGCTTTTTAAAATCGTTTTTATTTGAAAAACTTTCTAACAAAAAACAAAGTTTAACCGGAGTACCCAAAAATCCAACGCGCATTTGCATCGATCCGATGCACTGCACTCGCCGTTCGTAGAAAAACTAATCCTTTGTGGGCAAATACCTTCTTATACGACGTACTGCGCCTTGGAGCTTCGCACTGACCACTCGAAGGAGTCGAGCTCGGAGCGCTGCCGAGGACGGAACGACCGTTAGCCGAAGGCGGTTGTTTGGGCAAACCCATACGGGTATACGTGGGTCAGTAAACCTACTTCCGGTTGACATAAATACGCCTTGGACATGAAAACTTGGCACTGGCGGCGCGCCGCAAGTTGTTTTTATTGTTTCAAAACTTTTTGCCTCATGACTCAAGACAGGTGGGACGCAGTAACCGGACCGGACTGTATATGGGGGATTGTGTGGGGCTCGTGAGAGGGCTACGAGTGCAGGTGTGCAGATCTAATTTTTTATTCGGGGAATTCAATGGAAGCCTCGAACGGTACGCGGAGGGATGCCTGGGAGTCAAATTGCTTATGATCCAGATACCCATTGTCCTGGGGCTTGGCTAATCACCCGATTTTTGGCCCTAATCAATTATGCCAAGCCCAGCGATGCAAATTCATATAATTTTGTAACTGCACCTATGCACCCACTCTGTGGGGTCGGTCCTATAGCCGCTCCTATGATTTCTTTTTTCGGGTTTCGACTGCAATAAGATTTTCCCACGCGATATTTGATTTTCAGCCAGGTGGCCTTTATGATTCCATAAAGGAGCCAGGCGGTACATCCAGGGCTGACCCACATCGGACCACAAATTAATATCAATTGTGGCTGGCAGATTGCGTGTGCGAATATACGAATGCTCCAGATTCGGAATGGGATTGAAAGGCATTTAATTGTAATTGACTGTGACCGAGGATTACACAATGACTAAGCGGTACTCCCCGGCTCCCTGGCACCCTGGCTCTCTGGAAATTAAGTAATAATTATTATGATGTGTATACGAGTATAAATACCTCGATACAGGTAAGTAGAGGTCGCACTTAGTAGGCCACTTCTGCTTGGGATCCAGTCGGTCTAATTTGATGACCTGTTTGCGGCCCCGTATTGGAAATGGCTTTATTATATATGGAAAGCCCCTTAGCAATTGTTGCGAGATTTCACTAATAACGGTAATGAAAGGAAAGCGTTTCTCATTTTTATTGAAATCTCTTGAAAATATAGTCGTTTGGTGATTAAGGGATATCTAAATGATTGGAGGAACAGGGAATATTACTTGCCTCGTAATTACTTGCATGCTTGTGGCCAGTTCCCGGTTCTGTGAAGAAAAAAAACTCTTCAGAAACTCAAACCACTAAAGATTTCAGCTTAAAATCCAGCATGGTCTTTATTTTGCAAAAAATGTTATTTTGTATTTCTTAGACCTAAAGTACATATTAATGTATCAATAATTTAAAAGCGCATTCACATAGATCCTATTCAAATATTGTCATAGTCTTCATCTAATTCGAAAATGGTTTCGATGGGGGGGTTCGATGGTGCCGCTGTGGCCTTTGGAATGATGGGAGCGCTGCTCTTTCCAGCCATTTGGTTCACGTTATTATTGTCCGCCGGAGCGAGACCCAGTGAATTCGGCCTGCTGCTCGTCGTTCCGGCTGCCACGATATTCGTCAAATCGATATTAATCACCGGAGCGGCAATGTCGAAGTTAAAGGCGGCACTACAGGTGCTGGCTGCAGAGCCACCACCAGATCCGGAGTCGGAGGCATCCGGAGTGCAAAGATTGGTCGCCGTGGGCATCGGCATCTGTACGTTGCTGTATTCGATCTTGACGATCGGCTTGTTAAGTTCATAGCTGCAGATTGGCGCGGGTATGGCAGTGTCTAGGGGCACCGTCTGCTTATGCTTTTGATGGGCGGAGTTGGGCGGTCTGCCCCGCTGTGTGTAGGTTGGCGTGGACTCCGAACGGGCCAACTTGGCGGGCACATGGGCTGGGGCATTATTGTGGTGGGCGGTGAGCTGCGGCTGCTGATGCCTCTTGCTGCCAGCGATTGTGGATCCCGGTCCGCCGTTCAGACTCATAGAGCGCATGTATGCGGAGGTGTTGGTGGCGGCTCCATTCGCTCGCATCGACGTCGATGGCAGGCTAAGATCGTATGGCGTGTCCGAGTCGGGATACTGATCCTCCGGTGAGCTGCGGAGCACATCATCGTCGTTGTAGGCATTGGCTTCCTCGGCCACACTGATATCGGGGATGTTGCGCACCAGTTCCTTGAGGAAGTCAAACCGCTTCTCACTCACGATGCATTGCCGCATGTGTGACGGCGACAGCGTCTTGGCGTTGCGCGAGTTGGTGATGCGCAGCGTCTTGGTCAGCAGCGACTCCACGAAGAGCTCCAGAGTGCGCGAGATGATAACTGGCACCGCCTGAGCCACCTTCCCGATCTCCTCGTCGCTCTGCATGATCTTCTTGATGCGACCCTGGGGGTGAGAAAAGCACGGTAGAGAGTAATCAGTGGAGAGTGGATGAAGGGGGGTTGGAAAACAAGCGGGGGCCCGTGGAAGTGGAAGAGTGGCACCCAGCTATTCCCAGAGCCTCTGATTATGCGCGTATGTACACATGCAAGAAAACTGATAACCCAGCGGAGCTCGGGGCCGCAAAATGTCGCCGACTTCCGCTCCGTTTTCCAATCCATACTCACCGCCGGGAAGCGCGCGTTATATTTTTTCTTTTTCGAGGGCATTTGTTAAAATAGTTTTTGTGGAGTCCTAGAATAATAAAACAAAAGTGAGGGTGTTTTTCACACTAGAACAGTTCCTTGGTGCCCAATGTTTGTGTATTAGCGTGACCGTCTCTCGTATGAGCGGCAACGTCTCCAGTAGCCTGGTCATACTGCTGCCTGACACATTTTAAAATTTGAATTTTTCAACAAAAACATTTTGAAAAATATTTGAGCTACAATACAAATTCGGTCATTCTGTTGGCCATAATTTTTCTAAAGGTATTCTACTTGGCATTTATCTATTAATGCGAAACTGACTGAAGGCGGTTCATCGATCTGGCAGCTCTAAAGTCCGGCAGGGAAGAAGAAGCATCTCATATGAGTGGTCTGTGTTTTTAATAATTTCAATTTTATCCAAAAACTCCCCCATAAGAAGTGAGTTCATGTCTGCTGATACTCGCAAGGATCCTTGCAAACCCTTTGCCTGCCGCATACAAGCCTGTTTGAACGGTAAGCCCCATCAAAGGTCCTAAGAACTTCGTTATGTAAGGATCGTTCTAATGCACTTTCAGATAATAACTACCAGGAACACAAATGCCTGGATGTGCTTGAGGCTATGCGCCAGTGCTGTCTTAAGTGGCATACCAAATCGCTCTGCTGCAGTGGAATCGACCTGAACAAGTCCTACTTACCAGAAGCTGCCAAAGACAAGCTCCCAGCCGGCAAGTCGTGAGTACAGGAAGTAGGTCGTCCCCGAAATCCAACTAATATCTCATGAACTTGCAGCAAAAAATAATGTCCGTGCCGCAGTATCAGCCACCGAAAGAAATCCAAGACCTGTTAGATAAAAAAGAGCAACAGCAGATCAACCAGCGCCGGCGTACAGCCGTTCTCCCCAAACGCTCGTGGATAAAGCGTAACCCTCGTCTGTTCCAGATCACTTTTCTTACCGGCTCGCTCCTTATATTCTTTTCCAAACCATTGTACGACTGCTTCATCGCTGATCCTCTGCCACCGCCTGAGGTGAGGGTGCCACCGCACAGACGCTAAGCAAGGGCATGGAATCCGTGCGCAAAGCTAACCAACGTCTCCGCAACTATCCACTCTTGCTGGGCAAGTGCGCGGACAAGGCTACGGCCTACGCCGTGTGTGTCTCACGGGATCTTAACGTACAGCATAAGATCTGCGACGCCGAGTTCAAGGAATTCATTAGCTGCATTCGTAAGAGTGCCCAGGAGATGAAGGCCAAGCTGTAGACAATCGAAAACAATAAACAACAAAATGACCAAACATAAAGCCGCTACCACTACGAAGCCTTCGGTGCGGCAGCCGTCTTTGGGTCGCCGCATCCTGCAAATGAGCTTCCGCACACATCTCTTGATCTCTGCCCTGCTGCGCATTGTTTTAATATGCTACGGACATATCCACGATAGTAGGTCGCCGGTTCCTTATACGGATATTGACTACAAGGTGGTCACGGATGGTGCCCGCCAGGTCTTAGCTGGCGGAAGCCCGTTTTCTAGGCACACGTACCGCTACAGTCCGATTATGGCGTACATACAAACCTTAAACATCCTCGTACATCCTGCGTGGGGAAAGCTGGTCTATGCCACCTTCGATCTGCTTATTGCCATACTTATTTACCGACTGGTGCATATGGAGATCAAGAGCCAATATCAGAAAACCGTACAACACCTGCTCAGCAAGTTCAACAGGCCACGAGAGTCGGATCAGTCGCTGGACGCTTTAGATGAGAAGAGCCACCCCGAAAACTTGGCACGGGCATCCGCATGCTTTTGGCTCTACAACCCTTTGACGGCAGTCATATCGACTCGGGGCAGCGGCGATTGCTTCTCAAGTTTCTTCGTGATCCTGACCATTTATCTGCTGATGAAATCGGAGCACAAGGAGTCTAAGAGTTTGTGGCTTATATTTTGCGCGGGCCTAGCACACGGGCTGGTGATCCATCTCCGCCTGTACCCCTTGCTGTTTAGCTTGGGATACTACTTGGCGCTGTCCACCAAGCTGACACGAACTCCACTAGATTTCTTGTGGCAAATCTTGCGTCCCAACACGCAGCAACTGTGCCTGGTAGTTGGAACCATATTGAGCCTGGTGGCCTTTACTTGGACGTTTTATTTGATGTACGGCTGGGAGTACATCTACGAGGCTTACCTTTACCACTTTGTGCGCAAGGACCCGCGCCACAACTTTTCTGTCCAGTTCCTGATGCAGTATCTAGGCAGTACAGCTGAGACCTCGGCCCTCGTTAAGTTTCTTGTAATGGCCCCTCAGATCCTGCTTATCCTGTACTTGAGCCTGAGCTTTGGCCAGTTTCGGCAGACGCTTCCCTTCTGCATCTTCATCGTGGCCTTTGTGATAGTAACCTACAACTCGGTGGTGACGTCGCAATACTTCATCTGGTATTTGGCTATCCTGCCGCTGTGCCTAAACAATTTTAAGCTACTCTCGTGGCGGAAATGCTTCAGCCTCCTGGGCTTGTGGCTGCTCGCCCAGGCGCTGTGGCTTCTTCCCGCCTATCTTTTGGAGTTCCGGACGTGGAACACCCTCTACTGGATCGGAGTGCAAGGTGCCATTTTCTTCGTCACCAATGGCTACATACTGGAGCAGCTTCTGAGTCATTATGGGTTTACCCAGTTTAAGATTAGCTATAGGAAGTTATTATAAAGCAATCATAAAACTTCAACTATATCCGAAATGGTTAGAATACGAGTTTATTGCTATCATACAGAAAAATTTTAAAAGACATTTTCTAAGTTTTTGTTTTTGCCATGTACTTGATGTAATTAATTAGCCTTTCCAGTTCCTCTTCGCGAAGCTCGTAGACTCTGTCAAGGATGAGGTTCACATCGGAGTCCTTCACCATGTTAGTCTCAAAAACGTTACCCTGCTCATTCCAAGCCACATCGATGAATTTCTTTTGTACTTTGCGATACAAGGATCGGGAACATGGAGCATCCACGGTTATGTTGGTTCCATTTTTGAATTTTTCTCTATTTTCGTAAAGTTTTTCGTACCTTTGATAATCTCTGTGTAAATGGTTTTCATCGGATATAAACATATGACAGATGCGCTTCCTTGTGGCTGGTTTCTCGAAACTTAAAATGCATAGTTGTTGCGAACATTGATGTGGTTGGGGACTATCCTTAGGTGGATCGTTGGTCTTTAGCAGTATCTTACTGAGAAAACCAGGAAGAGTTGAGGTGTTGACCCTAGGAGGCTCTGGCTTTACAGGATCCTCTTTCTTTACTCCTCTTTGTCGGGTTTTGGACGGAGGACGATTTGGTATTCCGGAAATATTCAACACCGGCATTTCAGGTGTTACGGTTCTATTATGGTTGATAGTGGATGGGGACTGACCGGATTCCAAGGTTTGAGTTTCCATGTTGGTATTTCTTTAAACACTAAACAAAAACGACCAAAGACCTCTGCTTATATATGACAACTGTTTAGTAGTAGATTGAAATGGGAATGATTTCACCACCTAAAGTTTAAGAAAAAGCTCGGAATCATTCATAAAAATTAATAACAAAGCATAAAGTAGTTGTGAAAAGATTTTAATATAACTTTAAAGATATCACAATTAATGTAAAGCAACCTTATGTATATTTAAAAACATTTTCTTTAACTTTTTGTGCTGCTTAAAAACTTAACAAAGTTAATTAGTCTTTCAAGCTCCTTCTTTCGAAGGTCGTACACTCTATTGGAAATCTTCCACACATCAGTATCCCCTGTCATGTCAGTCTCGAAAACATTGCCATCCTTGTTCCACACCACATCGGTGAACTCCTTTTGGACGCGACGGTACAGGGCACGGGCACATGGAGTGTCCACCGTTATGTTATTAACATTTTTGTAGTCCTTCCGGTTCTCGTACAGTTTTTCCGTTCTAGAGTAATCTTGACGCAGAGTGTTCTCGGTGGATGTGAACATGTGATAAGCCCGTTTCCTGGCGGCTGGCTTCTCGAGGCACAGAAAACATAGACGTGGGGAGTGATCAGATTGATTTATCTTTGGAGCGTTTTCCGGTGGTTCGTTGGTTTTCAGCAGGATCCTACTGAGAATGACTGGAAACGATGTGGGATTGACCTTGGGAGCCTCTGGCTCAACAGGAGCCTTCTTCTTCTTTCCCCTGATTCGAGGAGTCCCATGGGGAGGCTTGACTCGTCCGGAAATATTAAGCACCTGTATTTCAGGTAATGCTACTTGCGTTGTTGCGTTAGATGTATCAGTATCCTGACTTTGAACTTCCATGGCGGAACAGGAGGAGCTTCCTTAATAATTACTGTATTAATACTGAGCAGACTCCACCAGAGGGCTTCGCTTAAATTTACAAAATGTTTAGTAGCCAATTGAAATCGGAATGATTTCACCATAAAAAGTTCAAACAAAAGCACAAATATTTGATAAATTGTTTATATTTCTGTGTGAATGGCAAAAAGCTTATGGTTAACTTTAATTCTAAATAATACAATTTATTTCAACTGTTCGTTGCACTTAAAAACTTTGTGTAATTGATTAGTTTATAAACTTCCAGATAGTGCAAGTCGTAAATCCTATGGGTAATTTTCGTAATTTCTTCGGAATCGGATTTGATCCATTCGGTTTCGAAAACATTTCCGCTTTTATTCCACAGCACATCGGTAAACGTCTTTTGGACTTTGTGGTACAGAGATCGGGCGCAGAATGTTTCCACAGTTGTGGTTCTTACAAAGTTTAAATCTTTTCGATTCTTATATTCCTTATTCTCTTTTTCGATGTCCTTGTACAAGCTTTGTTCCGTTGAAACAAACATATGATAAATTATCCTTTTCGTTGAAGGTTTGGCAAAACACAGCAAACAGAGTAACTGGTTGTAGTCAGATTTATTTATCTTTGGGCCAGCCTGTGGTGGAACGTTGCTTTTTAGCATAATCCTACTTATAAGAACCGGGAACGTTATTTGATTTATTTTTGGCGGTTCAGGAATTAGAAACTTTTCAAAAACCGGTGGGGGTTCGGGTGTCTTTCGGCCTCTTCTGCGGGGCGGAGGAGTGTCCGGCTTTCCCGATATTCTCAGAACTGGGGACTCTGATTTTATTTTAAGTTCCGCCATTTGGTTTTTTTAATATTAACTATTTTTTATAGAATTAAACAGACCCTCTCGTTGTGAATTTTATTTCAAACTAAAATGTTTTGGCGAAAACAAGCTCTTTTAAACCCAATAAACATTTCATCATCAACAAAAAAGCTCAAAAAAAGTAAGAGGGTTTCATTTGTTTACGTTTTTATTCGAATATCAATATAAAATGATTCATGATTAGGGTGGACGATAATAAAAGTACCCTATCACAAGATAGAGGATTTTAAGTATTTGAAAAGCTCAAAAATCGTATGTAGTTGAATAGTTTCTCATGCTCCTCCGAGCGGATTTTATTTATTCTCCTTGACACGGCCCAGATCCCAGTCTCGGCTGTCATATCCAATTCGAAGACATTACCTTGTTTGTTCCACTTGGCATCGCTGAATAATTTCTTAACCCTTTCATATAAAGTTCGGGCGCAGAGCGTGTTCTCGGTTAGTTGGTTGACTATCTTCAAGTCCTTCCGATCTTTGTAAACTTTCCGCACTTCCTCATAATCCTTTTCGCAATCCTTGTCCGTCGATACAAACATATGATAGACCCGCTTCCGGGCTGCATAGTTCTCCAGATAAAGAAAGCATAGGATCTGTGTATAATCCCAAATATCATCAGTGGGTGGTTCTTGGGGAGTATTGGTATTTAGCATTATCCTGCTGAAGATTGTGGGAAAGGTGTCTGGGCTGATTTTATCATTAATACGAGGCTTTCCTCTTCGCCTTTTGGCAGTTTCAATGTGAACCGCAGGGAGTGTTGATTGTGGAGTATTAGCCATTGTTTATAAAGTCTCTCAACCAACTTGTAAATCGAATGTCTGTAGAACAACTGAATTAAAGAAATGATAATTTTTCATTAAAGCTTTATTTTTGAAAGCTTATCACTCGAAGCAGATTTTCATTTAGAAATGTAATAATTGTAGGAGTAGATCTATTGTTTTCTTTTGTTGCATTCAATGAGGTAACTCAATTGAACCATTACCATCTGATTCTTGAGTAGGTCATCGCACATCTTTTATACTCAACAAGGTTCTCATTGACCCAGTGCTCCGTCGCAGGTTCCTCAACAAGTGTTGGGTTTTCGTTGTCCAGGGGGTTCGGAATTATTAATTACTTTGCAGATATCGCAGATATTGATAAATCTGGTAATTCTGCTCGGCAAGAGATTCGGAAACAATGTGCTGTATTTCAGGCCAATCGTTGCGAAACTGGACGACACTTTCATTTATCCAATGCTCTTTAGGAATCCTATTTTTGACTAAAAAAATTACACTTTTGGGATCGAAAGTCGGTCCAGATATAATAGTGTTTCCTTGAAAATTATCGGCTCCGAACTGAAAATATTGTTTGCCGTTTCTCCGAATTTCTTGAGCTCCAAATCTATCTATTGAATCCTCATCCGGAATATTTTTTAAGGGAGCTGCACCGCCAAGTAGTAACTGTTGCAGCCGTTCCTCAAACTTTTCTTCAAATGATTTTGTTTGTTTGTTTACTGATGAGTCACTTGTCACCGTTTCAATGCTCAATATATTCGACTTTGGCTCCATGTTGCAGACTTCACTGATGTTTGAATGTTTCCTCTATTTATTTACTTTTTCCATTCACGAATTTCACCACGAAAGCTCGGAAGTTTATACTCTTAAAAAGCGACCTTAGAAAGAGCAGTAATACTTAGTTTAAATTTAACCTGCCTAGCAGAACTTTCCTATTTAAAATGATATTATTCGTCTGCTAACTCAAAATACTTCAAAAGATTCTATTATTTAATAATTAATATATTTTTGTTATTATGCTTAAAATAAGAATAAAAATTAATATAACTATGTATTGTTCAGATAACATAAATACTGATAAAGTTCCAACGTTTCTTCATCTGCAGCCTGAGATACCGAACTTACAATAAAATTTCTCGAATCTTTACTAAATTTAACAACATTTTCATTGACCCAGTGTTCTTTTCCGATTTTATTCTTCAATCGTTTAAGAAACCCCTTAGGCTCAAAAGTAATCACATTTATTATCCAGCCTTTGATTTTAGCTTCTGGTCCAAACTCGTAGTAGAATTGGCCATTCTTTTTCACCTCGTTAGCCGAAAACCTTTCAATTGCTCCTTCGTCCAGTTGGGAATTTAGAGGCCTAACACCACCAAGAATAACTTTCTGCATTCGCAGTTCAAAATCCTCCGTAAAAAATGCCTTTCTGTGTTTAGCAATTGATTGTTTATCCATTTGATTTTGGTTCTCATCCTCGCCAATCGTCAAAACTTCAGATTTCGACTCCATTCTGATTCAGAAAAAATTAATGTGAATAATTGTCATTCTTTCTATTATTAAGAAACCTTACTCTTTTTAAATTTAATAATTTTTAGGACTAAGCCGGTTGCCAACTGGTTTCTTTGTTTATTTATTTACAAATGAAATCATTTTGTTTGTTTCACAACGGAAAGCTTTAACATTAGAGATGGAAGTATTTCAGCCAGCTGTTTGGGCTTTAGGGTGGACCTAGTTCCACCACTATATATAGGAATAGAGTATTGGAACTTTTTTACGATTTGTTTCAAATATTTTAAAATTTTCGATCGATGTTTTTCACTTTTTTCCTGATGGTCCCCTTGTAAAATCCGGGATTTCCAGAATTCCCATTTTTGACCCCCTCCGATACCCATATCTTAGACAATTTTTACCCGATCTTTGAAAGGAATACCTTTAAAGATTCGTTGTTCAATTCTCTATTAATCTGCATCAAAACCTAGAAACAAAATTTTCGATCGATATTTTTCACTTTTTTCCTGATGGTTCCCTTGTAAAACCCGGGATTTCCAGAATTCCCATTTTTGACCCACTCCGATACCCATATCTTAGACAATTTTTATCCGATTCTTGAAAGGAATACCTTTAAAGATTCGTTGTTCAATTCTCTATTAATCTGCATCAAAACCTAGAAACAAAATTTTCGATCGACATTTTTCACTTTTTTCCTGATGGTCCCCTTGTAAAATCCGGAATTTCCAGAATTCCCATTTTTGACCCACTCCGATACCCATATCTTAGACAATTTTTATCCGATTCTTGAAAGGAATACCTTTAAAGATTCGTTGTTCAATTCTCTATTAATCTGCATCAAAACCTAGAAACAAAATTTTCGATCGACATTTTTCACTTTTTTCCTGATGGGATTTCCGGGATTAAAATCCGGGATTTCCAGAATTCCCATTTTTGACCCACTCCGATACCCATATCTTAGACAATTTTTATCCGATTCTTGAAAGGAATACCTTTAAAGATTCGTTGTTAAATTCTCTATTAATCTGCATCAAAACCTAGAAACAAAATTTTCGATCGACATTTTTCACTTTTTTCCTGATGGTCCCCTTGTAAAATCCGGGATTTCCAGAATTCCCATTTTTGACCCCCTCCGATACCCATATCTTAGACAATTTTTATCCGATCCTTGAAAGGAATACCTTTAACGATTTGTAGTTCCATTCTCCTCCAATCTGCATCAAAACCTCAAAACATAATTTTCGATCCAGATTTTTCAAATTTTTATGAGGGAGCCCCTAGTGAAATCCAGGATTTCCATTTTAGGCCCAAACCAAGTCCATATCTTTGCCAATTTCTATCCGATCCTTGAGCGGAATACCTTAAACGATTTCTGGTATGAGCACCCTAAAACCCTGAATCAAAATCTTAAAAAAACCATTTTGTATTTTTTTGTTTTCGAAATTTATTGATAAAGCCCTTCTAAAAAAGAAACCTTTGAACTTTGGAGCTTATAATTTTATTGTTTATGCATATAACTGTTCCCCCCTTATCAATTGTCTATCATTAATTCAATTTATTTCACTTCGGAACTCGGAAAGCAACAAACAAAGGCCTCGCTTTGATCCGAATAACAGATAGAAATGGTTAGGCATCGGTGATTTTTTGCTGCGCACCTCTGGGGGTCTTTAGTATGGAATTAGACGCGTGCTAGATACGGATATAGTAGCGGCAGGTGTGAGCACAGGTGATGATGTCTGTGCTAGGGGGGTTTTTCTCTGCCCGTACAATTTCTCAATTTCGGACTGATAGATAGAGCTGTGTTTTGTAACGCCGAGACATTGCTATCACATCACACGCCTTGCCTGATATTACTTCTAACGGGTTATACTTAATAATGTTTTTTATAAATAATATTTTTATAATTTCGACTTTGAAAAGTGTCAAGTACGAGGCAGATAGCTCCAGAAAAGTCCCCGTTTACTGCCCTAAAATTGGTTCATCAGAAAATAAATCATTTTATAATTGAATTGTCAACAAATGCACCTAGAAAGTTCATATATAACACAAAAACGACGATTTACGCAACTGCCGGTAGTGCACCCCTTTATTTATTGCTATACAGGGATACATATATATATACATATATTTAGTATATGTAGCTACGGTGAATTCCCTTATAAAATGAGCAAATATTAGCACAACTGTTTACATTCCCGCATGTTTATACAAATGATCCAAATCCGATACACATTTCCAGGTTGTGAGCACCACCGAGCGCGTCCGACGACTGAAATCTCAATCAAAACCTGAAATCTGGAAACTGAAAACTGAAAGCTGAACTTGAAACCAAAGCAGGTTATATGGCCAAGACTCGAGCTCTCCGGAGAAGCCTCTCGATCTCGGGAACTCTCGGAGATTATGGATGTTAATCAAAAGCAAATGTGCGAATTGCAGGTGCAAATTTTCAGAGTTTGTAAACAAACATTAAACTCGGGACCCGGTTGTCGGGTAGGAAGCGATTGCCTCAGATCTTTTAACGTTACCTGGTAACAGGCCCAACAAATATTAGTTCATTATGTAGATGTGTATCTATTTTTCTATTTGTGGGGGAAAACTTTATCGTCTTATCTGGGGGAGGGTTATTACCCCCTCACCATTTGGCAAGGTGATTCTAATTTTTCGACACTTTGGCAAGGCATTTTACGACCATCCACGGCGAAATCAACAAGTCAATATCAAGGGACTTAACAATGATAACGAAGTTGGCAGAAAAACCACCGAAATTTCGGCTGCACTCCATAAACTGATAACTGACTGTTATCAGTACACAAAAAGAAATCGTATTATAGTTGTTTTTAAGTTTTAGCTAAAAATTAAGTCAATCAATGAAGACTATTTAAAGTTTCGGAATATTTTTGAGTGTGTTTCGCATAAAATTTTATGTTTCAACCAATAAAGTTTGAAGATATTAAAAATCTTTGACTATAAAAGTTAATTTATGATGATTGCCAAGTTAGATGTTTTAATTTTTTTATGTGTGTCTGGAAGGGTTTTTTTGGACTGCAGTCCCCCAAATATCAAATAACCCGGGCCAGTTGGTCAAGATAGCGTGGCCCATTGCATTGGGCCACCTCAGGTGTGTATTAATCATCAAAAAAAGGTCTTTTACCTTATCAAAGACCTCCCCGGTTAGATTCAATACTCTCATGCCTACGAGGTGATTTTGGGACTGCGTCGGCCCTCCAGCAAAATAAAAAGCCCCGTCGTAGAGACTCTCCGGTTCTCCGGTCTGCCGGCTGGTATAAAAGCGGCTTGCGAGCAGTGATATCGTTCAATAGCCAAAGAGCGAGCGTTCCGTTCGGTCGCCAGAAAAATCAGTAAAAGCGAAAGCTCCAAGCCATAAACCACGTAAACCAAAAAGCGAGCGGGAGTTCCCCTGACGGAAGCAGACGATCCCCCAACCGACAACACAATTGGATATTTTGACCTTAGTCGCGAAGCGGATTGCTCATCATTTTCGCCGAATGGTGTTCCCCCAGAGAAGACAGACAGAAAAGTCATAGATTCCACTCCCCCAAACTAAAAGAGATAAAGAGCCAGTTAGCTGAGAATGAGCTGTTAGACAAAAATTTGTGTGGTGATTTTTTCGTTCGATTAGCAACGGAAAGCAACAAAATAGAAACAAAAACAAAAACCATACAAAGCTGAGGTAATTCACACAAAAATGGGCGTTCGAGTGATAGAGACGGATTCGGCCAGTGATTCCTATGACGATGACGAGTGCTCCACTTGCCAGCAGGAGGAAAAACAGCAGCAAGGCAAGACTCCCAACAAAACCAAGACCAGGAGCACTACCACGCTCCCGGAGACCACCTCCTACAGCAGTAAGGACCTGGTGGGCAACTTCAAGGAATATCGCATCGAAAACAATACCCGGGACCTTCGTATTATCGGAAATGGCAACCGGATACGGATTGTCAGCAATACCGGAAATCTGCAAATCATTGGCAATGCCACCCGCCTCAAGATCCAGAGCAATAACGGATCTTTGAAGTATACAGGAAACGATGGGAGGATCTACTTGGGCAGCAACTCGCCGCAGCAAAACGTGGATTACACCGGCTGCAATGGGTTGCTCAAGGTGGTCAAGTCTCTGGATCTCAGCGGGAGCGGTAGCAAAAAGCCAAGCAGGCGAAGTCAAGCTGGCAAGCCGAGGGAGTCCCCCCAGACGCCCTCTTCCGGGGGCATCGAGATTGACAGCAATCTCACCGTAGTCAATGGAGTGTCCGGAAACATTGTGATCAAGAATGCCATCAACGTGAGCATTTGAAACGTTGGAGCTCTCTAAGTCATCCCCAAAGATTAGTCTAATTCTTGCCGCCGAACTGAAGAGGTTCCTAATGACTGAAAAAAGTCACTTTTAGTCTTATCTGCGACTTCCGACTGCAACAATTCATTCACCATTGATCAAGTATTAGCTACAAACATGCATCCTAGTGTACTTAGTCTATTTATAATGATAGTTAAAACCATGATGAACAAAGCCCTAACTTCATTCTAAGAATGAATGATCTGATTAACCCAAACCTAAAAAATATATATTTAAAATAATTACCAAACCTTAAGTAGTTTTTGTTTAATCTGTAGAGAAAACCCCCTAGCCTTGGCGTACTTCACATTTACTCAGAAGCGGGGTGATCTACCCAGCAGATGTGTAAATAACAAAATATTTTCCTTTAGTGCTCCACTATCTGTAGCTGGAAAAGACAATACATATTTTTTTTAACATTCCATTCATTAATTCCTCGAATCTTCTGTTAATCATCTTGATGCATTCGAGAGTGGAGCGGTGCCATTGGATTGACCTATTTTTCAATGACCGCGGAAAAAGTACCGGGACCGCTACGGCTTTATCGAGCTACTACTTCTCTGATTAATTAAATTTCGCTTTTCTATGGGTGCCCTTGGTTACGGACTTTCGAGTGCCGAATATCAATTCTCGGGGATTTTTTCGTTCAAGTTGACAAAGCGGCATACAAAGCAACAATTCATTACCGAAAAAACGAACGCCACCTTTGCACTCGCTGGAGAATCGCATTTTAAGATGCCCTCAACTTGTACTTAAGTTACTGTGGGAACCCCAGAGAAATATCTGATTTTGTTTGAGGTGATTTAAGACTTTAATAATAACTTGCTTTTTGATCCAGCAAATTTATAATTGTCGGTAGGTGATGGCTTATGAACTTAGAGCAAAGTTTAACATTTATATGACAAAAAATACATATTTGTTCTCAAAAAGATTTGTATAATGGATGCGTTTCCATATTATAATGTTCTTATTTATTATATTATATTATTTTATTATATTATTTATATTTTATTTTTAAAATATTTTAAACTACGCGCTCTGAGCAGTGTGACTCCCCAGGAAATAATCATTTATCGATAGGCAACCGCGGAATATACCATGCTCTTAAGAAGGTATTATCGATTAATTGATATGTTGATTATCAACAACCCCATCCCGCTTTCAACCGCATCGCATGAATAAAAACAAACATTTTGCGACATCTGAAGAACAAGATAATGTTTGGCGCAACGCAATCTACCAACCGGATGAATGACTTCGAGGTGGCCTCGCCACCCGATGACTCCGTATCGGCGCTCGAGTTCAGTCCCAACACGCTGCAGAAGAACTTCCTGATTGCCGGCAGCTGGGACAACAGCGTTCGCTGCTGGGAGGTGGAACAAAATGGAGCAACAGTGCCAAAGTCGATGAAGACCATGGGCGGCCCAGTGCTGGACGTGTGCTGGTCGGACGACGGCACCAAAGTATTTGTGGCCTCCTGCGACAAGCAAGTAAAGCTCTGGGACCTGGCCTCTGACCAAGTGATGCAAGTGGCGGCACATGACGGCCCTATTCGAACGTGCCACATGGTCAAGGCACCCACATACACCTGTCTGATGACCGGCTCCTGGGACAAGACGCTGAAGGTATGTAATTTCATCACCTTAAGTAACGCTGAATCACGGTGAATCTGTTTGCGTTTTCAGTTCTGGGACATGCGTTCGCCCAACCCTATGATGACTATCAACCTACCCGAACGTTGCTACTGTGCCGACGTAGACTACCCAATGGCTGTGGTTGGCACTGCCAATCGCGGCTTGATCATATATTCCTTGCAAAACAGCCCCACGGAATATAAAAGGCAGGAAAGTCCGCTCAAGTACCAGCACCGCGCCATATCAATTTTTAAAGATAAGAAAAAGGAGCCCACGGGCTATGCCTTGGGCAGTATCGAAGGCCGTGTAGCCATTCAGTACGTGAGCCCCGCAAATCCCAAGGATAATTTTACATTCAAGTGCCACCGCTCCACGGGCACGGCAGGTTATCAGGACATCTACGCCGTAAACGACATAGCATTCCATCCGGTGCACGGCACCCTGGTAACCGTCGGATCCGATGGCACATTTAGTTTCTGGGACAAAGATGCCCGCACCAAACTCAAGTCGAGCGAGGCTATGGATCAGTCTATTACGAAATGCGGATTCAATGCAAATGGCCAGATCTTCGCCTACGCCGTGGGCTACGACTGGTCCAAGGGCCATGAGTATTTTAATCCTGCTAAGAAGCCCCAAATCTTCCTGCGCTCGTGCTACGACGAGCTGAAACCGCGTATCAACTGATTGGAAGCCTGTTTTAGTTTTAGTGAGAGCCCCCAAATGAACTGCGAATAAACACTGATTCGAAGCGAAATCCCACAGCGGGTTTATTTTCTGTAAATTTAACTAATGGTGACCTTTATCTCCGTGCTCGTCCTTCTCATGACCGTGGCCATGGCCGTGACCGCCCTGACCCTTTCCAATGCCCAGGCCATATTCAACAGCGGCGGTGACAAGGAAAGCGCAGAATCCCACACCGAGGCCGCGGAAAAGGAAGGTGTTCAAGCGAGTCCTGTGGGTGCCGAACTGCTTGGGTTCATAGCGCCACACCTCGTTCCTGCAAAAACCATTTCCATGAGCTAGTCAGAATGCTTATTAAAAAAAAAAACTTACCTGAGCCAAGGATCCCTCAAGCCCTGGCGAGCAAGCGCTTCCTTCACTTCCACCAGCTGCGGCACAGCCTCCACTTTGTAGGCCGATGCGTGGGGCACTTGATAGGGTTCTCCGTGATGTCCACCCATTTCTCAACTGAAATTCCAAAAAAAAATCTAATAGAAGTATAGCCTTTCCTAGACTGGAAAATTACATAAGTATGTTTATATTCCTGATAGGGATGGGTCTACAAAATCCGTTTAAATTCTGAGATTGATAGCTCAGAGAACTAGTCTGATTTTAAAATGTATGAAAACTCCAAAATCTCACTTTTTAGGTAGAAAATGTGTAAAATATATTAAAAATAAATATACGCACGGTTGATTTAGAGATGAGATGGTGTCGATAAGTTTTGCACAGCTGATAAATCGATATTTAGCAAATAACTATTTGCAAAATAATTAACAAAAATAGATATGTTACTGAAAAAGTATTGCTTATTTTCTGAAATTTTCTTCCTTTAAATTGCTGTTTCTAGATACCAGAAATATAATTGAAACCACAAGCCACAGAGCTTACATAGAGATGAACCGGAAGTAGGCATATCGATAGACCGGATGTTGCCACCTAGCACCATTTTTAAAAAATAAACTTTGATATTTTTGATTTTTATTTATTCAGTAAATGTATGGTTGCAATTTGTAGAACATTGTAATTTTTAAACGTGGTTAAGTGAAAATATACATAAATCGTTTTTCATTTATTTCTCTAGTTACACAATAAGTAATAATAATATATGTAGTATCTATATATTAATAGCGTTTCTCTCTTTAATCGTTAACTTAAAAAGTGTTTTTTTTCATGTATTTAATTGATAGTTTATGGTAAACTCTGGTTTTTGCAACTTTTGTCACTACATTGGAAAGAAAACGGGTTAAGAATTTAAGCATATAGATACATAGAACGAAATACTGTTTCTTACGCTGTCTGTTTGTTGGTTTGTCATTTTGCATTGTATTGTTTTGTAATGGATAGGTATAAAACGTACGATCCGTCCGTGGGCAGCACTATAAATTCTAACAAAGGGTTACAACTCAATATGCACTTTCGCCGATTAACGTATGGATCTGAAATGCAGAATGCACGAACAATATCAAACTATCAAACTACTCTCAAGCTAACTCTCAACTACGGTTTTGGAAGCGTCTTGTTCACAAATCAATTTTACATTATCCTTCATCTTCTGGTTGTCCACAAATGCTGCGGTAATTCCGGGGGAACAGGCTCCGCCCTGCGCTTAATTTTACGTGTTTTGGTTAAAAGTTAAAAGTTATATGGGCTTATATCCGGTTGTTAAATAGGTTTTGTTGAATCACATTTCGAATTTCTAAAGATTAGTTTCAGATTTTTAGTTTCATAATTTAACGCATGTTGCTACAACAATTTAGGTATTCTGAAATCAAATTGTACTCTTAACTTCTGTTCCTTTCCCAGGATCCCCAGGTTCCACTACTCTTTTTTCCATTTTCAATTTTTTCCATTTTTTTTTTGGGTTTTGTTCCTGTTTTTTTAAGTTTTCAGATGCGCTCCTCGGCCAGTATTTCGTTGAGCAGACGGTTGAGACTATCCAGCCCGGTCAGGAATCCTCCGTCGGGTCCATGGTGCACCGGTGCGGCCACTGGAGTGGGCAGCATGCTGCCGTTCCTCGGCACAAAGGCCGTGTGGGCGAAGTCGATGAGGCGCACGTCCACAAAGCACTGGGAGTCGTCTGTGGGGGGTGCAGACATGTCCAATGACTTGGAACTATGCTGCAGCAGGGCTGAGTTGCGCGGGGCAAGCTGCTCGCTGCTGTTGTCCAGCGAGTCCAGGAGCAAGCCGGCCAGCAGGGAGGAGTGCGAGGGCGGGTTGGAGGTCTTCGCCGGCGAGGATACGGCCGACACAGGCGTCGAGGTGATCGTGGATTTCTTGGCCTCGCGCGAGTCGCACTCCCCCAGAGCCGCCGCCTGCTCATCATCGTCCTTGCAGCGCAATCGTTTCACAGCACCCTTGACCGACTTCAGAGACGAGGCGCTCGAGGAGGCAGGCGAGACCAGGGAGCGGGCGGTGGCGGTGCCGGTTCCGGTGCCATTGGAGACGCTGGAGTTGCCGGCAGTGTGGGGCGGGGAAGAGGCGGATTCGGCAGCAACTGAAGCGGCATCGAAGGACTGCTGCGACTTGTAGCGCTTGAACATGGCCTCCGTGGGTCCGATGATGCTGCTCTCGTAGTCGGAGCTGGCGTCATCGCTGCTGTTGTTTCCCGTCTGCCGTCCACTGGCAACCGCCTTGATCTGCTCTGACAGACCGGAGAAGTCGTCGCTACTGTTGCTGCTGTAGTTCATCCACGAGTCACCGGAATGTGGCGATGAGGTCGTCACGCTGGGCAGCGCTGGCTCTGGGTCCAGGAATACTGTCTCCTCGGAGATTGGAATGAATGCGCCCGGTCCCTTGCCTGCCAGTCCAGTAGCTGAAACAGAAGCCGCTGCCGCAACTGCAGCCGCCACCTTGGCTGCCATAACCCCACAGCTGCGCGGTGGCGGCATGGCAGCCGGGTGCTCGTCCTCCTCCTCCTCGTCGGTGGTGGTGATACTGGCCGCCGTCTGCTTGACACCTCGGGCTGCCGCCTCCGCGAATCCTCGCTTGTGCAGGTGCCGCCGAGTGGCCAGGTTGAGCAGTGAGCTGGAATCGTTAGAGGCATCCGCATCATAGTTGCAGCCATCGCCTCCAGTGCTGCTGTTGGTTGCCGAGGCATTGCCACTGTCCGCTGCCACCAGCTGGAGATCCTCGTCCGTGTCATGGGGCTCTAGTTCATCGCCGGCCTCGTGCCCGTCCTCGTCCTCCAGGTCGTCCTCCTCGTCTATGCTGTTCTCTGGATGATAGTCGAAGACAGTGCCGGGCACAGTTGCCGACTTGGGTGCCTCCGGCCACTCGTCCATGCACATCGATGGCGGATGGGCCATCGGGTTCTCCTCGAAGCCTTCGTACACAATAAGCAGAGAGCTGGAGAAAGAAGTTATTGATTAGACATGGAACACTGGCCATTTGTGGGCTTCAACTCACCAAGAGTAGAACCTGTAGCTGGACTGCTTCTCAATCACGCGACGCAGTTGGAGAAGCCGCTGCAGTATCTTCCGGATGACGCGCACCCGCAGCCTGAATCCGTTGTAGAAGAAGTCGTGCAGAGCCTGCTTGAATCCTCCCTCGTTGAGCTCGCGGCCCCAGTACTTGTCCCGCTTGGCATACTGCTCCAGATCGGCCTGGTAGGTCTGCATCCCGCACAGGCGGACGCCGAGCGAGCCGGAGGTGCTGGCTGCGCACTTGGCCATCTGTTTGGAACGCTTCTCTGCCGAGGCGTCGTCGCCGTGCTGGCGAGTGCCCATCTTGAGGTCCAGGATGCAGGGATTGCGGAACTGCGAGGTGATGTTCTCGAGCATGAGGAAATCTGAAAAGTGCCACCAAAATATTTAGAATCTTTTTCTCATTTATCTTATCGATCCACTTACATTGCTTATTGGTGTTGTCCAGTTGGGAGATGCTCTTGATGACATCAGCTGCCTGACCATTCTTGTGAACCTTCATCCTGCAATGATTAGTTTGGTTAGCTACATCCTGGGTTGAGATTATACAAGGATTACCCACCTCAGCACCTCGTCCCGCTTCCTCTTGGAGGCGCTCATCTTGCGAACGGGAACGGCGGCGGCCTCCTCTCGGAAACTGGGCGAGTAGCGTTTGTCCAGCTTGGCTCCGCCCATGGTGGTGGCCTGCATGACGCCTGGAATGGACACAGAAACGAGCCGAACCGGAAGATTAGTGAACTGTGATTGGAGCAGCACTATCGTCTCTTCTTCTGGCTGAGTTTTATGTACCGACACGGTAGAGATGTTAGGAGCGGTTAGGGGACGGGTTACTCAGAGATGTGGAAATGGAGGCCTGAGGTGGTTAGCACATAGCGAGTTAGCAGACACACGGTATGGTTCGGAACAGACAAAAAACAAGATAGCTGATGATGGTGGAAATGGAGCCCGGCTCAAAGGATCAAGTGGGTCCAGTGAGCTGGACTGGCTGACAGTATTTTTCTCAGTGCAATGAACTCGAAAAGTGCTTCATGCATTTCCAACATCAGACGGATTCAGATGGCTTTCAAAATGTTTATGCATATGGCGGTTATATAACTAATCCTATTCCTAATCTAAGTTGGTGCAAAACAGAAACGGATATATGTATTATATATATATTTATAGAGAGAAAGGTAAGGAGGGAGAAAGACTTAACGAACCGACGCAGTAACAGGTGCAAAATTAATTGAGAAAAATAATATAGACTTTTGTGTTGAGGATGTCCTTCTGGGATATACCCTCGGGGGCATCTTCCTGTTCTTACGAGTAGTTATACTAAAACGGGGTTTTCTTAACTAGCATAGTTTGTTTTTTTTATCATATGGTAGATATTGGTAATTAACATATGTAAAATATATAATATATAGATGTGTTTTATTCATACAAACCCTTTCGCTTCGCTTTGGTCTTGGCTTTGCCTTTGGCTCGGGCTCTGGCTCTGGCTCGCCTGCATTCTAAACCGATTTTAGCAGGACGGGCCGTGCTGGATCGCTTAAGGATCACTATGGTATATAGATGAGACGAGCTGAGCGGAGCGGAGTGGAGCAGAGCAGAGTGGAGCGGAGTGGAGTGGAGCAGAGTGGAGCAGAGCGGAGGTGGCGACGACGACTACACACAACAACACACTTTCACCTTTCACGTTTGAGGGAATGGAGGTGCGTGCTCTGAACAAACACATAAAATAAGAGACTCGATTTTGTTTCTGTTTCATGGCGGGAAAAAAAATTAAATGGCTTTACGCTTTTTATGGGCTTTCCCGGGAGAGCTGGTTGGAGGAGGACTCGTTCCGGACTCCGGATATCAGTATCAGTATCGGTTACGGTTCAGTGAGAGGCTTGCTTGGTTCGGCGGCAGATCTCGAGCGGGTCTGTCAGTCGGGCAGCAGGCACCTCGAACCTTTGGATAATACGAGCATAGAGCGAATATGTAGTGGGGATGGCACACGCCCCCCGATCCAGATGGGATCGGGAGTGGGTGCTTCAGTAGTAGGTTACATACATACATAGATGGTATATCATTCAATTTCCATTTTCCATTTCCAGAAATTGTACAATTTTCGCCTGGCAAAAACTGTACAATCTTTGGATACTGGATACTTTACTTTTCGTTTAATATTTTCATTTATGTTTTTTTTGTATTTTGTATTGATTTGAATTTGATATTGGATTTTTGGTTTGTTTTTGGTTTGCGACTTACCCATTGTTGTCTGTTTTTTGTTACTAACTAAGAGGGATTTAATCGGAAACGGTCTCTGGTTCGGGCCGTCGAGTCAGAGAATGTTCTGTGGCATGTGGCATCTACAACGTATTTTTCGGTTCTTTTATTTTCGATCTTAGCTCTTGTATTACATAACTTTAAGGCTATAATGTTAGCTACATATTTATTGTATATGGTTCAGTCTTTTTTTTTTTCATCAGTCAGTTTTTTTTCATTTTATTTTTCTTTTCTTTTTTTTTTTTAGTTTTTTTTGTTTTTTGTGCTCGGTTTTTATTTTTTTCCATTTTCAATAAACAGCTTACAAACTAAGGATATCACATATATGTATAGTTTTTAAGGCGTAGTATATAGTTGTAGAGCAAAAAAAAGACTATAAATAAAAATGATATTCGAATGCGATTTTGGCTTTATCTAGGGACGATACAAGAGGAGCAAACGCATATTGGTTGATTGTTGTTGGCTTCATAATTTTGGCAGTTGTTTGGTTGCGAGTTAGTACAAAAACAAAAGTACGAATCAATTAAAAATTGGCGATTTCGGAACTCAAGACACATGACAAATGCTTGGCGCGATTCAGAATCAGAATGCTTTATAATTACGAGTATAATATATATATATTTTTTTGCATTTCTTTTTTATATTTTATTTTTTTTTGTATGCATATTTTGTTCGGTTGAATGAATAAAAACGATTAGTTAATTCGAAACGAAAGAGCAAATGAAGCGCTTCGACAAAATCGAGAGATAATTGATAACGTGTGATCAGTATGTTGGTGTTTCAGTTGGTGAAACAGTCGGTATCTTACCTTTATACTTGGGCACAAACTTCAGTATGTCCTGCGGAATGTTCTGGTAGAAGTCCAATTCGCGCAGGTTCAGCGGCTTGATCACCGTCGACTGGTTGAGCAGCAACAGGCGAGTGTGTCCTCCGACCTGGAATAGACAAAGAAGTCAATTTTTATTCAAAAATAATTATTCAGTAAGAATATAAGAATGTTTCTATTCATATTTTACCCTAATCTAATCGTTTAAAAAGCAATTTATTGACCCTCTTAACATCTTTATAATATATATCTTAGAGCTACTTTCGTTTTCTAGTTGTTTATTATGTTTTTGGCTATCAAAATACACACAATCTAAACATTTTCAGCCCATTCTAGATCCCAGACGCGTGGCCATAACCCTGGCCGTTGGTATCTAATCGGTTGGCGGTTGTACGTCACTTCTTGGCCCGAAACGAAAGTGCCAAAAGAACAGGTAAGACCCCTCTTATCAAATTTGAAAAGGGGAACCATTTGAAAAAAAAAAAAAACCTTTTTTCAGATACCCATGAGAAAGTAGGATCAGTCGGCTTCTCATCACCGAAGTCTCTAAGCCTTTTAAACTCTGACAATAAAAATTATAGTTTTGTGTTGGATTTTATAGCGCCATTGACAACGCTTTGGTTCAATTATGATAAAAATCAATCTTTGCTAAGACATGAACTCGATTGAGGCCCGAAACAAGCATCGATCCGGGAGACACATCCCGAGGGATGCAGCCGCTGGCTCCGTCTCCATTGTAGAAATGCTCATCGGTCGCAAAGGCAGCATAAGCCACATCACCCGGTCCATGCATGTGGCCGCATCGGCGGCTGCCCGACGCAGCAAACTGTTTACTTCCGGCGAATCCTCGGATCCCACGGATTTTTCCAGCAGCAGCACCAAACAGCGGTTTCCATGGGGCAGTCGCAAGGCCTCCATCAGCCACCAATCCAAGGTGCGGGAATCGATGGCAGCTGCTGGGAAAAAACGACCCACAAACTCTGTAAAGCTTAGCGAACAGCGCCGGAGCAGTCTGGAAAACTCTGCCCAGACGGAGGGACGGAGCACGATCAGCCATGATAGGCGCTCAAGGACGCAGGTTTACACGCATCCTAGTATCTCGCAGCCACGGTCGACGCGGATCCAGTCGACAATAAACGAGGGAAGAGATAGCCAATGGAGGCGGACTATCGCGGACGACTACTCGCGTAAGAAGTCCCACACCCAATCAGTTCAATTTAAAACGGCTCCGATTGTGTTAGTCAGGAAGACAGAGACTGGTGACAGACTGGTGAGTGCAACCAAGTGCAACTCGGGGCACGAAGGCCGAAAGCTTCTGCAGGAACGCATGATGGTGGGGGTGGACGTCCTATTCAAGTTACTCTTCACGCCATCACAGTTCCTGCAGAGCTTCCACGACAAACGCCAGACGACGGACCTTCGCATGGGAAACTGGTCCAAGAACGCCAGTGGCCAGAACGAACGCACCGTTACCATGACCGTCGCCTTGGCCGCCAATGTCGGTCCCAAAACGGCAAAGGTCACCGAAACTCAGACGTTGCGAGAGTGCAGCCAGCCGGGACAACTCTATTCGATCGATGTGCGAAGCGTCAACGCGGAGATCCCCTACGCCGATACCTTCGAGGTGCAAATCCACTTCTGCTTGAAGGCGACCGTGGATAACGAGACCGACGTGCTCATTTTTGCCCAGATCAAGTTCGTCAAGTCCGTCTGGGCGGTGGTAAAGGCATTCATCGAGAAGAACGCATACGCGGGCCTGGACGAGTTCGCCCAGTCCCTGTTCAGTGCTCTGCTCAATGAGATCAAGAAGATGTGATTGATTGTTGACCCTTTGACGCCGACCCACCGTCACTCGAGTTGAAAATACCGTCCCTAAATATATAGAGAATCGACTGTATACGTGTTGGACATTCTTTGGGTTGAGGTTTGTTTCCGAGAGGCTTACTCTACCTTAGAGAAATATATAGCAAGAGACACTCACCTGGTTTGACAGTGGATGCAATGCCACCTCATCCTCGTTGTCCAGAAGATCCTTGCCGAGTTGGGAGGACGACTTAGACGCCTTGGCAGCAGTGGTTGGTGTTTCGGGCAACTGCTGCTGCTGCGGCTTGGTGGGGGTGTTGCTCACTGAGAGCTGCTGGAGATTGGCAGTTACCAAGCTGCTGCTACTGTTTGGAGCTGCAACATGTTGTTGCGGTTGCTGCTGCGGCTGCTGCTGCTGCTGGGTCTGATGGTGAGTCGAGTGAGATGAAGAGTCCTGCTGCAGAAAGCTGGAACCACTGGCAAACTGCAACTGCGACTGCAACTGGCTTAGGCTACTGGAGATTTGTGCCACAAATTGTTGCTGCTGCTGCTGTTGCTGTTGCTGCTGCTGTTGGAGTTGCTGCTGCTGTTGTTGCTGCTGCTGCTGCTGCTGATGGAGGAGTAGATCACGTCCATGGATGCGTTGCTGCTGTTGTTGTATATTTGGAACATGTTGCTGATATGACGACAAGTCAGAATCTCCCATGCCCCAATCCCCCAAGAAATATACCATTCCCCGCCGCGGTAAACAGTGTAACGATTGCTGTTCGCTTTTTGGGTTTTCTCGCTCGAAGGCTTTCCCGCTCGGAGCACTGGGAAATGGTGGGAAATCCGTGTCTCCTGTCGTTTTGTTCTGTTCTGGAATGGGAGGGAAATGGAAATGGAAACGACGGGTGCTGTTAATAAATTGCCTGCAAATTGGGTTAAATAAGCGATAATCTTAACCTGCCACACTTGATCGTTTAATGGCCTGAATCATCCCCTGATCGTTCACTCAACTGGCCACTAACCGGTTCTCGGATCGGTGCAAATGCATTCGGAATGCGGGCGGGGGTTCAATGTCATTTCCGCCACGGAACACTTGCCACGCGACTTCGGAATGCAAATCCAGTTCCGGCCGACGAATGGGTTGTAAAACTTGCAGTTTCTTAGAGCTTGGGTCAGGGGTTTTGAATTCTAAATACTGGAGATACCACAAAGATCAATAACCCCTGGACAAAGCCCACAGATCAGCAACATTCCAAGTCCTATCAAATTTCGGGCAATCATTCACATTGCGGCTGTGAATCCTACCCTCTAGAGTCTAGACCTACTGAACCCACTGCCACTACACCTGCCTCTCTCGACCCTCGGACCATATCAAGTATCAACAATCAACAATCAACAATGGTACATGCTATTTAGCAATCAAATCAGCCCGTGAACCAAGAGCTATATATTAGAAAAGCATTCAATGGAGCGTGCTGTTAATTGAAAGCAATTGCGAATCGGGGGAGCTGGTCAAGCGTGCGGCACGTGCACGGAAGGAGAGAAGGAGAAGCTGTGGGGCAGAGATAGGGCGGCTCTGGTATCAAAGGTTTCTAATTAGCGAGCTGGCAAATTATAATATTAATCAGAGCTGCGAAAAGATCGCACGACTCTTCCCACAATTGCGTTGCAGACACGCCTATCAGTCTGCCCTCAGCCCATATTTATCAACGCCTCTGATTGTTGTTTTCTAATCGTTTGAATAAAAAGGGAACTGCAGACGTCATAAAGATAGCCAGCCAGCTACCCAGACAGTGTATGCAAATTAGACAGCTGCTGCCTGGGCCTGCCACTATTACCTGATCGAGACCAGACGGCGGCATTAGCTAATCCCCGAGAGATACCAGAGACCTGAGATGTACTGGCCGTGTAATTAGATAGTTGGATAGCTGCATAGCCACCCACCGAGTTCGGGGAACCACAAAAGGCAATTAACCGCTCTCCAAAACGGATCCAAGTGTTCCGCCAGTTCGTTAACTTGCGGGGTGATTCACTCCGTTGTCTTGTCTACGCCGCAAAACAATACGGAGAAGTTTATCGCCTAGCCCGAGCCAAAAGCTGGCCGCCTATTTCGACAGGGGTTATTTATAGCAAAGGCCTTTAAATAAATTAGTGTTTACTCGCTTTAGCGATTGCTTTATTTTTTGCTTTTTTTTTCCAACCATCCATCCGTTAATGTCCCCGTACCCGGGAAAATGTCAAGCGAAAGTCGCGAAAATTGATTGGGAACACGGAAGGCGCACAATCTACGCCGGATCCGAGTGTTAGTAGCTACTAAGATAATCGGGCAATTAATTGAAAGCGATTGCCAGAGATTGAAGATCATCCAAAGATCGCTCAGACGGGATGAATCAGCGGAATCGCGGAATCAGCGACCTTATCGACGAGCGGAAAAAACAGAGCGAGGAAAACTTTCGGGGGAATTGGATTCAAAGTTCGTCGCAAAACTAAACATCCCCGACTGCTCCACTTTTCCGGATGGGGGGTGGGGGGTACCCACCGTCAGGCAATAGGCATATGTACATATTTATGAACTTTATATATCGTGTACATAAGGTGGAGCCGGAAAGTGGGTCAGCGGCGGCGGCAGTGAATAAAGCGGGCTGAACTGAAACCCAAACAGCTGCTCCGGTCTCCGAAAGGGGGCTTTGTGTTGCTTTGTCCGAAAGCCAATTGGATTGGACCGGACAATTGAAGACCTCCGTAAGTAAGAATCCGCTGTCAGCTGTTCCTCCCACTCAGCATAATCATGTGGTCGGACAAAGGCAAGAGGCGCCATTCCAAGCACAAAGCACAGATCGCCTCTGATTACTATTGGAGATCCGTGGAGATCAGACTAGCAAACAGTGAGGTGTGAATTTCCAGCTAAACAAACAATTGATTAATTCAATTTCGTTTATAAACAGGCACCCACAGACATATGCTCTGGTGTTTGAAATTTCAGCTGGCAGAAGGAGGCCCTACGGTTGATAGACCTCGTTGACCTGCCTTGCTCCAATTGCGTCTACAAATCGGATGCCTCTATTCTCGGAGTAAACAGAAATTGTTGGCCAATAGCCAGTATTTACTGAATACTGAATTGGCAATTGCAAATGAAGTAGGAAGTGAGACTGGGCGGTCGGTATTGGAGCTGTGGGGTTTTGTTTCTGGTATTCAAATAGGAGCGGAGCATCGGGAGGGGGTGCTCACCAATACCAAATAAAAAGGAGGCCTGCCTTTGTTTGTTGGGAGCCCCTTTACCCCCAACCATCCCATCCATCGACTGATCCACTGTGAACTCTGCCCACTGATAAGCCAATAATCGGGAGCGTGGGGGGCTTCTTACTGAATTTTATGATTGCCTTGGCAACAAAAACAATATTCCAAACTGCCAGTGCCAGTTAAATTTTGGGGCGGGGGTGTACATACATGTGTATTTGTGCAAATTAATTTACTTAATGGCTAGTATAACCCGTGACTAAAACAACAGTTATCACTGCAGCAAAAGGCAGTTAAAAGAAACGAAAGCTAAATCTTGCGACAAACAAAAGCGATAAAAACAAAAAGCTCAACACTTGAGACACTGAACAAATTAAATAAGCAGCAATTAAAGCGACAATTAGTCACGATTCCAAGTAAAAAGTAAAAACAAAACAGTAAATTTTAAAACAAGCAGAAATACCTGGTGCCCCTTGGTGGTATTAAAACAGATTCAAAGGGCCCTGTATTGGTAGTGGAAAAGTTTGCTAATTTTATGGCGGGCCTTACAGCGTACACCCCGAAATGTCTGGGTCTTCGGAGTCGTCACCGAAAACCGGATTTTTAGCCAAAAAGTTCACCGAGCAGGTTGATGATTATGGGACTTCACAATGTATCAAAACAAAAAGCAGCTGTGGTTCGATATCTAAGGGAATTACGTGTTCAAAAAAAAAAAACCACCTCCGAACCAAAAAACAGGCTATACAACCAGCCAACTAGAGAGTCTAGAAGAAGAAGCAGGGTTCAGATAAAACGTATTCTAAACAAAAGATTAGGCCAAAAGGAAAGCCAGAAAGAAGAGCCAGGCCAACAAAAAAAAATAAAGAATAAAATAAAATAAAGAAACGGTGACGTCGCAGATATATAGCTATAGCTCTCGGGTCTCGGGAGAGAGAGAGCGAGTTTGGGCTCTCGTGAGAGGGAACTCTCTTTAGCTATTTTTACAGTGCATACACAAAAAAAAAAATTTCAATAAAACACACACACACACCAGCGCACACTGTCGAAAAAATTGCTAATTTCTGATTTCTGGCATGGGTTAAAGAATTTTACCTTTTCGAGACGGTTTTGTGTCCACTTTTCGGTCTGAATTTCATTCAGTTTGCATTTTCATCGGCGCACAAAAACCCACTCACGCACACACACATGCGCCGCTCCCCGTATACATATATATATATATATATCTCAAATTATATTCCTCTCAATTAAATTTGATTTCCACATGCGCGATGTGGCTCCTTAATCACACTCACTAAATATTTCTGCACCTTTTCTTTTTTTTGCACGATTATTGCACGGAAATGGGCTTTCGGCACCTGTGCTGATATTTTAATTGCTATATTGCTGTTTGGCGACGAGTGTTTTTCACTAGTTAATTTTTGTAGATTCTGTTCGCGGACTGTATAATCACGTCCGACCGCATCCGAAAAAATATTCAATATGAACGAGAGTGGCTCTCTGCGGCCCCTTATATAGCCACGCACACAGACCCAGCCAACGGGCGCACACAGATACTCGGCTGGCTGCTCGCAGATACTTTTCTGCCAGCTCTCAGATACTTTTCAGTCTGCTCTCGCTCTCTTGCTCTCTCTCTCTCTCGGGGGCACTCTCAGATACTTTTGAGACTCTGGCTCGCTCAAAAGTTCATTTTGCGATTTTCCTACTGGATTTCCTCGGATTTCAGGACACTCGGATAACAAATTGGCCTGCGCCACGCGCCATCCTATTTTTACAAAGAATCCCCAGGGAACCGGGAATTGCGAGACCTAGGTCACCTTTGGTGGGCCAGCTGGTCGGGAATCTGGCAGATACAGATACTAATAATAGGCCAATAGTAAGCTGGAAATCCAGTTGGCGTCTCCGATTCCGAGAAGCCCAAAAGAAATAATAAACAAACTGTTTTTTCCTCTTAAGCTCAAATGGCTCTCCGGTGTTTGTGCCACGAAAAAAAAACAACAAAGCAATAGCCGGACAAATATTTGTTGACGGAAGCGATATTGGGGCCAAGATCGGGGTGTTCCAGGCACCCTGGCACCTCTCCACTTCCGTATGGAGAGTGGGAGCCTAATTAAATTACCAAATGGCAAAAAAATAATAATAAAAAAAAGCTGCTGGTTGTTGACAAATGTTCCGTTTGCCATTATCGTTCACAGCTTATCACAGAATATTCCATTCCCGATTCTATTATGATGGGTCTGGCCGGGCAATCTATAGGCTTTGATCGTAGACCCTCTTGACAGGGGCTTTCGGCCAAGATTATGGGCTTTGGAACTCTCGAAGTGCCAGATACTCGAAGCTATCGATCGATATTATCGCCAGGCGTCAGGAATTCCAATAAAATTTACAGTTTATGGCTCGATTTCTATAAAGCTTCTTAGAATCTCTTTTTATACAGCTGGAGCTACTGAAGTTCTGGAACTTTCCCAACGCCAAGTGTCAGTAACGCGTCACACGAACCGTAACAGATACAGAGACAGCGGACACCCTTCAGATACATTTTTGCAATTGCCTGGGACGGGCCATTATCGAAAGTGTTTGCCGGCGACGTCGTATGGAAATTGGTAATAAACCAGTGCCCACACAATACCCTATCGCGTGAGCTGTGACTTGTTCTCCATTTCCTTTGGCACATCCCGAAATAAAGGTTCAAAATGCCAAGAATGACGCAACTCTGAGATACATTTACACCAGCCCACTGGTGGGGGCGATAAGCGGTAGGCCTGATGAGATACATAAATCGGTATTCCGCCCACAGGAACCGAAACTACAACATCAGGGAAGCCCATTCATAAGCGATAAGAGTTATGCCACCGAGTTGGCCTGAATTCCAGCCCCAGTCCACCCAGTGGCACTACCAATCTGACCCTGAGTCGTCCTGCTGGCTGCACCCATGAATAATTTATTCAGAGGACGGCCATCATGGCTGGGAAGGCCATTGTCAGGGCTGTGGGCTAAGAGGGCGCCGCACCGCTTGTCGCCTCCTTTGTTTCAAAGAGCTCGCATCCTTGACACTGACTGCAGCCAGAAGGCAAGGACTTCCTCTTGAATGACAGGCATACTCAGCCCAGGACTTTAAAGAGATCTTCGACAGCACGTGTGGCACTAGACCAGATCCAAAAAACTCATTATCTGTTTTTAATTAATTCCACTATAATTGCTTTACTATTCGCTTCACTGTTTTTTTAATGGCTGGCTGAAATGAAAATTAATTCAAACACTCTCCCAAGTAAATATTTAATCGTGTTCTCTGGCAGAAATTCGCAAAACGAATTCTACATATTTGTTTCAAGGGGAAAATTGTCAGTCGGCGAATATATGACGATTTTAATTTAATTTGTGTGTATTTTGCGGCTTGTTCGCTGTCAGAGTGGCAGCAGGATGATGGCTGGTTACTCATCTATTTGGCCAATTCGGATGTCAGGCCGTAAAGGGAAGCTGTCACTCAGCCAGAGATTTGACGAAATTAGGCACGAATGATGTATATCAGGTGGATTAACTTGTGAATAAAACGGGCCAGCTTTGTAGGACTTGTGGGTGAGCAACGACCTTGCTGGCAGCCTCATTCTGTGGCAAGGACACGGACCTGCAATGGCAGTTGCACCTGCTGCTCCTCACCACATCGATCGATTGTCTGGGCTGGCAAGGTGGCAAGGACATGGAGCCTGGCATTGGGCCTGCATTAGCAGATTAGGATGCGTGCCAGGAGGCGATTGATGAGTAGTGGGTTCCATCCCGTGCCTGGCCTGGCCGCCTGACTGGCTGGTGCATTGTTATTGATACTTAGTGTTATTGAAAACACGCGCCAGTCAGACTTAATTGAAATCAACCGGCAAATGGCAAATGGCTGCAACAACAATTGAAATTACTTCGTTTACCTGATTGTTTGTCCAATAATGATTCACAAACAGCCAATAAATTGGGTTTATCAGCTGCTTTTCATTAGTCAGCCCCCAACAGACCACTTGGCTTTAATTTAATTTGAAAACCATTTGAAACTATAGCTGTCATAGCTTTGTCGTCCAGATTTTCGTCGGAAGATAAATAATCGCAGAATGAGTCACCAGGAAATCTATGTTCAAATATTTGATATGGGCACGTGTTTGTTATAAATTTTTAAAGAATATTTTATTGCCCATTAATATTAAAAATATTCCCACTCAACTCTGAAGAACATCGTAGATATATAATTATATTTATTGATTCATTCAAATTCCCACAGAAATTCGAAAGTATATTACCACGTTCTGCCTGAAAATTGTTTCGCAAAAGTGATTTTTAGATTTTAATTAATTGGATTTTGATTCAAAAAATGTATAATATTTTTAGCCACAAGCCGTTGACATGGCATTATAGTATTTTAGTGGCTAGTACATGTATTAGGCGGCTGCAACAGGTCTTTTTTAACCGACCCTGACATTGAAAGCCCCACATATAGAAAGTAAGAAAGCCAAAATGTATTTCAACCATCCGAAATAGTTTTTTTTTTTTTGTGGCAGAGAGGGCTAGAGAATTCCCCACAGTGCTGGCGAATTTTACTTTTCCGACTATGCCAAGCATTCCGCGATACTAGATGTATCTAGATACTTTTGATTATAAATGGGGGGCACCATCGAGAGGAGACGTCACCGGTTACCGGCTACCGGAACAATGGCCACGAGTTAGTGCCGTGATCACTGGCGCTCGATGACCACATTTCGCCAAGCTGATTTCCGCATTGGTGGCGCTGGGTGATGGGAATGGTCCGTCTGCCACCCACCTCCCCCCACAAAAGAAAGGGAGGAAAGCCAGAAGGCGCGGCAAGAAGAAATGCCCGGGACTCTTGGTCGCCCCTGACAGAGAGACGCGATTTCAGGGCCAATCTAACAACTAGCTACCTCTAGTCACAATTCCAATCGAAAGCCACTCACTTTGGCACTGACCACGCCAAAATGATTCCGATTCCCAGCTGTTGTGGGTGGCCCAAATAATTTGGCCAACTGCCAAATCAGAAATGCCAAACGCCGGCATTTATTGATGATAAATATTTGGGAATCACTAACGAAACATCTCTCTTTAGATCCCCACAATCTGAATGAAATTATGACCCACCGGACAATGCCTCTAATTAGCCAACTTATTCTGAGAAAGTTTTTCTTATTTTTTAAGGGGAAAAATGTAACATATCTGGTCAGCTGCATCCTTCACCCACTTTAAGGGGCGTTTATCTATAAGATACAAAGATACAAGCCTTGTGATTCTTCGCTCAAGTGCCCCCAGCCAACGGATTCAGCCAAAAAGTTTGCCAGACGACTACAAAAATAAAAATAAAATTGGGAAAAAAAATGAATTCATGACCAAATCAGTGCAATGTCAATAGCACACGCCCCTATCCGAGAGAAGAATAACCCACTCGGCTCGTGTGGCCCACATAAAATACATACAGATATAGCCAATTTTTTTTTTTTTACAAACAAATATAAAAAAATTTCGGTTTTTTGAAAAGCCGAATCGGAAATGAAACTGAAATTGCGCCGCAAGCAGCATCGAATAGATAATGCTAAAAATATAGCCACGATTTGCACAGCGGGTCTATAATTATACAAATTATATAAATATTTAAGTAGTATTTACCCAGATTTAAAAATTAAACATTTTTAATGCTAATAGTAAGGGAAGTAGGGATAAAGTCTCTGATAAGAGTTCATTGAAGACCTTTATTGGTAACATTATTAAATCTATAGCCTAGGCCATGGACCCAAAACCAGAAAACCAAATTCTTTGTGCAAATATTGGCGAAAAATGAAAACAAAATGCGATGTTCGACGTGTGAATTGCAAAATTTCGTGACGGAATAGAAATAACCAAAATATATATACCTCAACCTATTGGTAGAGTAATACCCTGAAACCAATAAAAACTTATAAGTGAAAATATGGCTTAACAAAAATATTTATAAAAGGAATTTATGGCAAAATAATTTGATATTTTAATCAGTTGTGGGGATTCGGGAAAAGAAATTAGAAATTGAAAAACCCAATTATGGGAATTGAGAAACTGGAAAACCCCCAAAACTGACCATTAAAATTGTTGCTTTTTTGTGGAAAATTTTACTACGTGTTCATATGAAGGGAAAAGTTTACAAATTTTAATAAAATTTGTTAATAATCAGGGCTAAGTATGGGCACTACTATTTGCTAAGAAGTGAGCGCCAAATAAACAACTTTGTTATTCTTTTCAATTGCGTCAATGGCGGGTCTGGGGCAGGTATCGAGGGGGCGGTTGTTGTGGCCAGGTTGTGGACTAACAAGTGTTTGCCTTACTTGGCCCTCTCGCACGTTTTCGGCCCAGTCTGGGGAGCTCAACGATCTCAGCCGATCGGATCAGTAAACAATATTTAATGCCCTAAAAAAAAATACTATACGTGCCATCCAACTATCGTGACTAATAT